ATCTCAGTGCTTAAAAAGACTCCAAATCATTCAAAGTTGTGGAGGAAAGGGCCCTGATTTATTCCACCTAACTTTGTGCCCCTGAGGGATGTAGGAGCCTACGTCGCTCCACGTGCTGTGTTCCCTCAGTGCAGGGGGATGGCTGCACACATGGCAGTTTTTCCTCTCCCAGGGAGCCATTCTGTTGACATGAAACTCAGTGAAAAAGTGAGGCCTTTGGCTGTTTAAATCAAGTTCATGTTATATTTCAATACAGAATCATAATGAAGAAAACCACAGGAAATTTAGCTACTCTAGGGCCTCAACTGCCAGTCATCCTTCCTTGCTTATGCCAACTAGAAGTACCAAAGTTGTCAAAATAAATTTTGATTAAATGAGGAGATGTCACAGCAGATTATTCAGCTTTGCAGAATATTTCATAATACTATATATCATAAAAGTTTGTCTTTGGAACTCTAGACATCTACTTTCATTATTATTGCAGAATGTTAGAGAAAGACGGGGCAAGCAGAAAGCACCAGTTTAATTTTGTACTTGAACATCCTTTTGAAAAAGAAGGGAAAAAGGATGTGATGCTAGCATTAGGAAAGTTTTGTACATTTCTCTTCAACATAAGTAATTCCATAGTCAAGTGAAAATTATGAGACTGTTAGATTTGGGCTAAAGGTTCTGATGTTGGCACCAAAGGGAGCATGAAAAGTGTACCAGAGCATTGACTTTGAAGATTTTTCCCTAGGATTTCCTTTCTTTGCTTAAAATAGATATTCTAGTTTCTGAAGTGCTTTCATTTTATGCTATGTTGTCCACTAAACTTGAAAAGGAAAGGGTTATTTTTTGGAGTTGAAATAGATCATATCGGGAATTATGTGGGACTTCAAATACCTGAAGAAATTATTTGTACTCTTGAGTATGAAGAATAACAGCATAGAAATATATAGACTAAATAATATGGGGGTTTGTTTCAATTCCATTGCATGACACATCAGCAGTATATTTAAGGAATTATTTTGAACAAAGATCTGGATGATTTTGTGTTTATTTATGAAGCACAAAACAGTGAAAGTGATGTTTCTTCCTACATATTTACACCAGAAGTTCAGCTTATGTATACGGTCTAAGACTTGATGGATGACTGAAGAACTGGTAGGTTTTGGTCATTAGGAAATGCAGATGATATAAAGAAAAAAAAAATCTTAGGTTAAAAATCCAGTGGTCTAGCTATGGTATCTCATTAAATTGCTCTGAAATAACATTTTTCATTGCATAGGATATTTTCAAAAGAGTTTTATAGGCTTTCATAAAATCTTAGACAGCTGAAAACTGCAACATTTTCCTTAAAGGTTTAAAAACTGCTATGTATGTGGGATCAGGGATCTTTTCTGGGTCCTTCAGTAGATGCATTCTCATGAAAGGTATGGCATACACTTCTGTTGGTGGTCAGAAACAGGTCAGTGAAAAATTTTACTTGCATGTACTGAGAACACTCTCAGCAGTCATCTGAGATCTCCCAGAAGCCCCATAGCTGAACAAGCGAAGGCTGGAATTGGCATTGCTGGTTGTTTCTGTGTTAAAAGAGAGACAAAAAATAATTTGGATTTTTAAGCATTTTGAGTTTTTATTGTGCATTCTAAAGAGAAATACTAAGCCAGCAAAATGTTTTTCCCTTTATAAGCTTCTATAAAGAGCTGAAAGTATGATTTGATAGAAAGAACAAGTAAATTACTCTTTACAAAGAATCTAACTTGAAAACTGGTTGTATTTAAAATCAAAACCGCAACTTTTTTTCATACATAGCAGTTTGCCTAAAGCTTGAAATGAAGAGGGATTTCTCTCATTCAGAGTGAATGTTAGTCATAAATGCCTAAAAGTGACCTCAGCAACAGGGTCAATCTTAAACACAATTAAAAAAATATGTGGATGTGAATTTTTTACTTTTGAAGTTTAGCAGCAAAGAGTATTTAAGGTGTGCGCAAAAAAAAAAAAAAAAGGCAGTAAAAACTTCTGTATGTGAAAAATCCACCAAAAGAAGGGTTTAAATACTTGTGTTCTGTAGATGTGTATTAGTTTGCAGCCTTGAAGTGGGAAATTACATCGCTCCTGGCACAGTCAGCAGTGACATAATCTCTAGCAGTTTGCACATGGCTCCGAGGCTCACAACCTGCTATTTTCAGGAGATTTTATCTATGAATGTGTTTTATGACAAAAGGTAATAATAGGGAGCTGGGATCATTCCCAGATGCTCTGCTGAGTCTTCAAAGGCAGAAAGCTTTACTAACAGTACTTGGTGCATCCACTCAGTGATCTACGAAAACAAATTAGGCAGGTTTTTCTGTTTCCTTTTAGCTTGGCTATTTGCTGAAGTAGCTGTTGTTTCAGCCTGCTGAATTTATTTCCTTTAGCAGAGGACAGCAGCTGGCTGATTCTTTCCACCCAAAAGTTCAAGAATTGTAATAATGTGCATTGTTTCATTGTTTTTGCTCTGTCCCACACATTCCTGCAAGGCCATGCAAGGGAGAAATAATTCAACTGAGCAATGAACATAAAGGCCTCTTTTTTTTTTTTTTCTTTTCTTTCTTTTTTTTTTTTTAGTTTCCGTTTCTTTTATGCAGAAACTCCAGTATTTGTTTCTAAGGCAAAGACATCTTTATGTGAAAGACCATTGCTGATGAAGCGCTGAGCAGAGCAGTGGCAATTTCCTGCCTCTGAGGCAGGCGCAGTATTAACTCACGGCATTCTACGCTCCATTGTTTGAATTTCCCTTGTGTCTTCAAGTCCAAAAAAAACCCAAACCCCAAAAATCTTTGCGAGAAAGTTTGGGTTAAAAAAGAATCCAACATGCTGAATAGAAACTAGAGACTTGGAAACACGTCTCTAAACTGTGGGTGTAATGGGCCAAGTAGTTTGGCTGTTCTGTGTGTTGTGAGAAATTCATGACAGTAACGTACGTCCCTCTGTGGATGTCTCATTTGTCCATATTTTTCAATAATTTTGAAAATGCGCAACTGTATTTGGAGTGTTATGGCCTATTTTTCAGGAGCTCAAACTATCCTGAAATATTATAGAGATGAGAGTATGTAAATACAAGGGACATAAAAAGTATAAAATAGGAACACAGGAATATTTTCCATTGTCTTTGTTAGTAGCACTAGAATGTAGACGTTATAGTAGGACAGTACATGTCCCACACTTAGGCTTTTTCAGAGACAAATGCACACTTTACTAATTCTTAGCATTGTGACTATGTTTAATATTGCACAGCCATTTGTTAACATTAATGTTTGTTAACATTAAAGGGCCTGTTATAAGCGCAAACTAGTGTATTTGCTGCAGTCAATTACTTCAGGGCTTCACTGCAGCTAGGTGTTTTTCTTCAGGTGTATCTGATGAATATTAGACTCCCCAAATCGTTAAGAGTGGCAATATACATATTTATCACCACCTCTTTGATGTAGTTTCCCAGTGTAAAGGTGTTTTTTTTTCCATGGCAGTTTAGAGAAACATTGTATGTCAAAGGGGCCTTTTGTAAAATACAAAGCATTCCTTTCCTGCAGGAGGGCTCTCCGGCAGCGCAAATTTTGCAGCTAGCCTTTTTTAGTCATGTCAGAAATTCTGAAAAAGTGTATTCAAAGCTCCCTGTGGGCAGAAAAAAATGATTTAAAAACCCCTTTTCTTTTAATTGCATGGTTGTGCTACCTTACTGATAGGGTTTTTTTCTGCTGTTTTTCTCTTTTGTGTAGGTAGTTGTTTCTACATTCGTGCAGTGTATGTTCTGCCCATCCAAGCACAACCTTTGCAAGAGCAGAGTTGAACAATTTGAAACAATTCATAGAAAAGATAATCCACACTTCAGTGATGGTTTCGTAGTCCTCTAAAACATACCGAAGCACTGAGGAAAATCACCAGGGTTTGGCATTTTTAGTGAGAATCCAGTAAGCGACTTTCCCCATCTATGTTTAAACTGCTATCCACAGAGCATTCTAATTCATTTTTTTTTAAGGAAGATCTGGGGTGGCTTCTCCATTTGGAATTTCTCATCAACCAGAAGCAGTAGATTCTAACTTTGGAAGCTGCTTTTACCTTAAGGATTTAATTAAATAGATGACAGTACAGATTAGCAACATGTGCCATGCTAATAACCTCTGGGATTCTCCTGAATCCTCCATTCTGCTCCAATGAAATAGTGTCAGATTTCATCTTCCTTTAGAAACTTGGCCTGTGAATTTTGGTATGTGTAATTTCAATATCATGTGTAGCTGGAGATACGGGCAGCATCAAACTTGATTTATTAAGGATCATTTAAAAAAGCATTTCCAGGTAGGTGATAGAACTTGGTTCTACTCTTTGCATTACAGACTACATCTCCCAACATCAAACAACATAACCTATGTTAAAATCCACTGCTGTTCAAATGGTATAGTAAGGATTTTAGGTACAACATATTTTCTTCAACAATCCCGAATAAATTGAGCAAGCAGTAGCATTGTCCTTTCCTGCACTTGGTTCTACAGCTACAGCATGACATACAATTCTGAATTTCTCAGTGAAATTTTCATGGGAAATACTATGGTCAGGACATTTTTCTAAAAGCTCTTGGGTGTGATCAAAGCAAACTTTTTTTGAAGCAAGGTAATATGCCAGTTTCTACTGAAGGACAGGGGTGTGCATGCACACAAGTGCACTTTATTTACAATGGTAAAGGAACACAAGTTTACAGGTCTACCTCACCAAAAGTTTTGGGGAGCATTTCAGTGTGCCTTCCAACTTGAGGTATTCTATGATTCTAAGTTCCCTAGAAAAGGAACACCCTGCAAAATATGTGGTCTCACTCATGAGGTGAATGATGAAACATTTCCATTTCAAGCTATAAGGAAAGAGATAGATAAAAATTATTGCTGTACTCTCTTAATGAAGGGCATGGGGGGAAAGGATTAGTTCTTGCATTCTTGGGAGGTACCTTTAAATAGCCATTTGAAAAAACTACAAACACTACTCAAATACTTGCATAAAGACATTTTATTATGAATGCAACGTATATATAGTTTTTTTTTCATCTGAAGTGTTTATATAAACAGACCCATATCAGCTGAATGACAGTTAGTTTGCAGGGCATGACAGTGGTTGAACACCCTTCAGCTCCAAAGCTTTGCTGAAGTTAATCTCTTGAGGTTTAGCAGTACCCTTGGTGAGCTTCAGAAATCGAATACATCCTTTAAAACGGATATTAGTGGTCAGACCAAACTGGGTCACACCATCTGAAGGAGAGAAAAAAAAGGCAGAAGGAATTATGTTAGTTTGAGCTGATGTTTGTTCTTTGAGTCCTGCGGGAGAACAGATATCCCCAGCAATATATTAATACGTTTTATTTGCTGTACATCTTCTTTATTCCAAAAATGACAAACATTATCAGTGAATGTGATAAATGCTTATGTTAGTGGTAACAATCCAGTCGTCTTTCCTTTTTCTGCCCTAGCATAACAGTGGCAGAATGTGAACACATTTAAAGTGCCATTGTAAACCATGTGACAGAGAGGAAATCAAGGAAAATGGCCGAATTGCAGCTTGCTACTTACAAATGGTGTATGAAGCATACATACTAGTCCTGCAGATCTCCATCTTCTCAAGCTATTTATCCACAAAATAACAGCGCAAAAAAACAGCCAAAGTGGATGCAATTCTCAACCCTAACATCATGAGAAAGCCAGTTCCTCAGTATGGACTTCAGGTGTCATTTAAGATTTTCAAGCATTCTGACTTTTTTTTTTTTTTTCTTGCTAATAGTACAGCCAGGGATTTGAATACATCTCTTACACTAAAGGAGAGAACTATTCTCGTGTGACCAGATGATGGAAGTGAGGGTTGGTTTGACTGGGAAGCTGGAAATATTTCTCTCAACTGCTTGAAATTCATGGCCCAACTTGTTTCTCAGTGTTCTTCCAAGTGAAAAAGTGGCTACAAGGATGCACTCCGATACAAATCTATGTGACTGATAAAGTAAGGCCTGCAGAAATAACTTCACACCTGTAGAGGACTGACTGGCCATAGCATTATGCTGTTTCACAGAGGATGAGGTGGTTGAATCCATCTGTCCCTCCTTGCACAGGGAAGAGTGATAGCAGGAGATGAGTAATGGCTTTTATGGGTAGCCAGAAATTTATATCCTTGCCCACGCTCTGGTGGCAAAAAGTTTCTCTGCACAGGAAATTCTCTATCAGCTAATGCTAGCTGGTTTACAACTGTTCTGCACTGTTTATGCAGCCAGGAGAAGCTTCAAGATGACTGGAAAATACAAACGCTTACTAATTTTATAAAATCCCATGATACTGTGTTTTAAATTTGTGATGAGGTATTGAGAATGTTAATCTTGGATGAGCTAGACTAGACAGCAAGAGAAGTGCGAGGTGTTTAAATGTGCATGTAATTTTATGAAATCATTTCATAACTTGCCACGTGGCTGAACTCAGGAATATCACTTCAACATGATGTAAGTGTAGGCTTGTTTTGTACAGATTGCAGTGTTACTTCCATTTGTTTCTCTTGCTATGTTCCTCTTGATATACAGTCCAGAACGAGATAGTAACTAACTCCATCTGCAGTGTTTCTTTAGTGCTAGCTCCTATGCTGTAGTCCTGATTTGTTATAAAAAGGCTGCCACAAACCTGTTTTCCTTCTGGCACAAAGTTGTTGGTCTTTGTCAATAGTCACTGTGACAGAAGTACAGCTTTCATATCTCAGCATCAAGAACATCTTTGAAAATGTTCTGAAGCTTGAGAGAGAAGGCTTTTCGGATACACTGTATCACACAGTAGAATGGGGGGAAAAAACAACTTCCAGAAAGTCATTTAGAAATTAAGAGGCATCTTGCCAGTGACCTCAGTATGCACTAGGGCAGACGCATACTGCAAACATCCTTAGCTTTTTTATTTTGCAAATAGAGAGAAACTTTACTATAAATGCAACAGAATTGACACTTCGCACACATCTTAACTGTGTTTTCAGAAAGGAAACTGCTATCAGAAAAACTTGTTGATTGTCAATGAACAGATGAATACTAGCGTTCATCATCAGCTTAGTGGAAGATGAAGCTAGCTACAGAGCTCATTCCAGTTCTGGATCCTGTTCAATTACCTCTGCATGAAGCAACTTCTCTCAAGGATTTCCAGAATAGTGAACAGCAAATTTTTTATTTTTTTTTTTTCCCTTTAAACACCACCAGACCATGAGCAAAGACATTAATCAGAAAGACATGGTGTCCTCTCACCTCTCTGTGCAAGCTGTAGTCCACATTCCTCAGGTCCTCAGGTTTTACAGGCTGATTTACACACACAGCACTCTGCCCCACCCCGGGCATACAGGCACTAGTTACATTTGAACTTTACATTCTTAAGTTAAATTTAAATTTGCCAAATGCTGTTGCAACTGAAACGTAAAATTTTCAGTTCAATGACAGCGTAATAGTTAAGAGGGAGCCCGTGTGTGTAGACAGCAGAAGGCAGAAAGTCTGCCTGCTCCTCTGTGCCAGCACCTACCTTTGAGACCGGGCAAAGGGACTTGTGAGAGTCCCTGGGTGCTGCAGAACTTCTTGTTCCGAAATGCAGCTGGGTGCAGAAACCATCATCCATGCCAACTGATACAAACTTGGACAGTTTTATCCATCACCTTTAGCATACTAGTTCTAATTGCATCTAGGGCATTACCAAGGCAGTGTTGCTAGAGCATAAGTAAAGCATCATTTGTGTATTAAATGCTCACCAGGATATCCTCCGACAAAGATGGGGTCGTTGGTGTCTGCTGAAGTCGAGGCCCTGTTTGGGCTGTTACTGTCCACCTGTCTGTCATCCACAGTCAGCTCTAAACGGTGTTTGATCTTGTTTGCAAGAACCTTGTGCCACTGTCCATCACACAAGCTGCCTGGTGCATCAGGCTCATAGATAGCAGAGAATCGGCCCGCACCATTGTCAACGTGAAACATCACCTGAAAAGCGTGACATGGGAGTCAGTTAGTTCTCAAAAAAGTTGTACAGTTCTTTCTTTTGTTTTTTTTGTTTCTTTTGTTTATTTAAAGTCAACATGCTCTGACTGCACACACTAAAGCTCTAATGTAATACCAAACTCTATGTGGATTGCTGTCCCTCTGGGACTGGGGTTATGTCACTTAGATAAACACTAGTGGAAATACGCAAAATTGTTGTATAGGTTGTCATTTTTCCATTTTTTTTTGCCTTAGGTTTGAGGTGTTTCCCAAGGTCTTTTAGTGATAAATTACTGACTGGTTTTCCAGAGTGTGAAATAAAAGATACACATGAGAAACTAGTATTATTAATGACAAAGCCTTTCCTCAAAACTGTTCATATTATCACTAATTTAAGTCCTGATGTTGCAGTTTGAGGCAACTCAAGTGTTACAGGATCTTTTAAAATATCTTTGTAAAAGTGTACGAGCCTCTTGAAGTGGCAAGCTCTGCATGAAAGGAGAGCCCTGATATTGACTGCGATACCTTGCGATTGGTGTAGTACAGTTGCATTTAAACTACCTGTGCTTCCTAAAAACGGTCTCTATAAAGGCCCAAAAATGCTTTGCTACTCACTTTTCCGTCGACTAATTCAATGCCCAGCCCATCCATTTTCTGGCTGCTGACTCCTAGGAGAACACCGTTCAGTTGTGTTGTACGGAATTCAAATTCCACGAGCAGGTCTGTTCCCACTCTGTATGCACCAACTTGGAGAGAAAAGGGGAAGCATAATAAAATGAAGAATTTAATACATTATTCCTAATAATCACACAAAGTGTGTTGCCAGTTGTGCAGGATAACTCAGCATTATTAATGCACTCCATTTCATGTGAAATCATGTAAGTAACTGTTACGGTGCTGTCCTTACCGTGAGACCTTGTTAAAAAGTAATACAGTCTATCCCTAGGCAAGATAATTAAAAATGATCAGCTAGAGTTTCAAGTATTGCTCTCACTTTGCCTCCAGTTAACAGGAGTTAGGTAGCACGGGGTGTTTTTGAAAACAGCATCTCCTCTTTCTCTGTTCTTTGCCTATGAGCAGAATTGCTGCTCATTACCTGTTTTGGCAAAGCCCGTTCCATCGAAGTAGGTTCCTTTCTGTGCCGTGACAAAGCATTTTCCAACATTGAAGCTGGAAGTTGGATTATCCAGGTCAACAGGTGATTCTGTCATTTTAAAACTTCTGATGCAGCCGTCGATGCTATAGGTGACCTGCAGTCAGTATTTCAAACAAAATGTGTAACTCTGCAAAGCAGGCTGAAATGCTCAGAATAAAGGCCTAAAGAATGTCATCAAAAAGTACATTTCCTCTGCTTCTCTGCTGGATTTATGGAGCTGAATAAAACTTGAATTTTACATGGCTAATCCTTAATATCTGATTGTAATTGGAATCTAATCTCCGTCATACTGGGGATGAATTACATTACTTTTCAGGGATGTGATCTGAGTCACATCTATTTGGGTTAATGGAGGGGACATAAAATAATATACTGCATAATGAAACATAGCAAATTACATCAGCAATGCAGGAATTTAATGGCCTATACTTTACCTTTTTAATTGACTAGGTTATGGGGTTTGCGAGTAGATGAAGATACTGGATATAGTTCTCTGGGCTGCTGGTAATTTTAGTAGGGCTTTTTTTTGCTTTTTTTTTTTTTCTCCTTTAATCACTTTACTATAGGCTTAATGTTGCATGGTAAGATAGAGCTAATGTAGGTAGACAGCTACTAAAATGAACAAAGCCCCTGTGTAAAGGTTGTTGACTGTACATAGTTCTTCACATAATAACCACATACAGGTCTGGTGACCACAGTGACAAGGGCCGCTCTGTGGGCCAGAGAGGCAGGTGGAGGTGGGGGATGTGCTCGGATGTATGGAGGCATCCGTGCACGGTAGCAAACTGCAACTCCAGTTGGGCTTCTGAACTGGGAGCATGTTACTGCCACTGTGAGGGGGTGGTATGTGCACACTTAAGCTGGTGGTGTAAGTAAGTGAGATCCCACCTGGGGCAGGAGTGAGGGGCCGCCCGGGATACACCTCGGGTTGCCCCAGGGCTCAGCTGTGTGATCAGTGCGTCCCAGTGGGACCTCTGAGAGCCACTGGCATGTCCCCCAGAGCTCTCCCTCCCTTTTCTCTCTGAGGTGTGCAGAAGCTGCATTTTGGTTCTCAGCTTTAGACAAAGGCTTTGATTTTTGACTTATAGTTAGGAAGATTTATCCCTGATACCAGTGGGAGAGAGGAAAACGATCATAGAATCATAGAATGGTTTAGGTTGGAAGGGACGTTGAAGATCATCTAGTTCCAACCCCCCTGCCATGGGCAGGGACATCTCCCACTAGACCAGGTAGCTCAAAGCCCCATCCAACCTGGCCTTGAACACCTCCAGGGACTTGCAGGGATGGAGCTTCCACAACTCTATGATAAATATGTACTTTGAGGAAGAAAAGGAAAACATATTCATAAGCAATGCAGTAGGAAGGAGGAAAATAAAAATAAGCATATAAAATACAGCATAGAAATACGTCCAAATACCAGAAAGGAGAAAGGCACACCTGCAGAAAGTCTTGACTCTGCACGCTACCTCCTCTAACAATATCCCGAATAGTAACTTGAAAGAATTTCCAAAGAATTTCTTTCCTTGTAAATCAAAGCTAAATGTACTGTGGAATTTTAGAGCTTATTACTGATAAATACACCTGAACAAAATTTTCATGAGAACTTGAGCAGTATCAGTGAATAAATTCAGTTCTAAGCTGAGCAATGCTTTCTGTCAGATTCTTCATAAATAGACCTTTTTCTGATTTCTAAGTGAAAGTCATCTCCAGATCAACAAGTTTTGTTACCAAAAAAAGAAAAAATGCCACAAAAGAAAACAAATCTTGCCATCTTCACTGTGAGAATAAATCATAGCAACGCAGGATTTGCAGACAACTCAATAACATTCTCTAACTTTAACATTTCACTTTCCCTGTGGAAAAGCAAATCTGTTAATACTTTAGCATGGTAATTGGCAATATAACATCTTGTGCAGAAAGCAGAGTTTAGAGTGCTTAAAATGTGACATCTGCTGAAGCCAAACAAGCAGCTATCAGTCTTCTGCACTGAATGGAAAGCCATATAACCTATGGTTACGTATTAGATTAGTGTCTGAAAAGGTTGATGTGTGTTTAGCAGAAAGCCCTAACTAAGATAATACCTGCTTTCAACTTCCTTTGCTTCAGAGCCTTTACATGAACGCTACAGCGCAATGCTCCATTAATACATCTTGTGGTGTATTTTTCTGAGAATGACTGAAAGGCAAGCACTGGTTTTTACCTTCTGTGAATGACATTCGAAGTTACAGCTTCATTTAAATCCCAAAGCACATAAGACTGTCAGGATCTGACATGGCTGTTATTGCCCGACTGAGCGATTCATCTGTACGGGTTTCCTCCATTACTTCTGACAAGGAGCAGTAGGTAAGGATTTAGTATTATCTTTCTCCTTAGATTAATATTTGTAAATTGCAGACGTGTTTCAAAGAGCATAATTTGATAGTATTAGGAATTATATTTTGTGGATAGTTAGGTACAGCTTTTGTTTTTCAGTGCCTCAGATCTGGCTTGGTAAATCCAAATGATCAGTAGATTTGCCTCAATTCGGGCTTTCTGCACAATCCAAAATATGCTAAGAAATATGACCTTATAGATCAGTTTTCTTTATGAAATACAACTGTGAGATTTAGAGTGGTTACTCTTCCCCTTCATTCCCCATTTTGAGTTATTATAGTGATTTGTTTAAGAAGGATCTAGGAATTCATTTTCTGTAATTACTTTGTCCACCCCAACTGGTAGACTCTTGCCTGTCTATAGATTAGTATTTGCCATTCCATTATCATCTTACTGCAATGGTGTTTACTCATGTACAGTTTCTTTAAGACTCTGCTTTGTTTCCTTGCATAAATCTGTACTTTTGCCTCCTCTTTACTGATTCTATATAAGCACCCAGAATGAGCCTAAACCTAGCAGCTACCGACATTCTGGTTATTTGTCCACGTTATGCTGCACTATATGCTTAATTTGCTGTTTTCTATAAGTAAATTCACTCAAGTTCTGGTTTCTGCTTTGAAGGGCCTCTCTGCAGAGAGAGAAAAATAATGCAGGGAAGAGTTTTTCTTTAATTCTGATACGGGCATATCTTGGGGGGTGGGAGGGCAGCAGGAAAGTGAGGTGACTGACGTGGAGTTGTGTGGATAGATGCAATAAATGGCCTGGGTGAGGGAATAAAGTGTTCGTCGTTAATTCTACAAAGTTTAGGCCAAAATGATATTCACCTCTCTGGGCTGTCTGTTTGCGAGGGTATCTTTTGTGTCAGGATGGAAGTTGGGCATTTAGACTGAAACAGTGACAAATTGATATATGCACACGTGATTTGGAAACAGAAAGAGGACAACTGAGTTTTCATGGCCTTACTTCAAAATACATTCTCTCCTAGTTTAGTAATAACAACACAAACCCAATTACTAGAGTAAGCAGCTGCACTACTGGGTACTTTGTCCGGGGTAATTTTGGCTTCTACTGCTTCTCTTAGGAGACGCTTTCACTGTTCATTAGCACTTAATAGCTAGATGAATTACAGCCAAGAGAAAGGGCAAGTAGTATTCAGGACCTTAAACTGTAGCTGTGCAATGATCCAAGCAGATACAAGTGTAAGGATCTTTCTGCTTTTCCGTAACAGTAACTAACTCTGCTATTTCTAGTTCTTTTCATTAACTGGGTTCTGAGTCAGACCTTTCCACTGAAAGAATGTAGTGTACCTCCAGTAACGTTCATTTTGTCAATATTCTTGAGCAGTCTTGGGGAAAAGCAAAACAAAACAACGCAAAACTGGGAAGACATTGGTAACAATCAAGACATACTTAAGAATTTCAGGGTAACAATTAAACTTGCTTACCGGACCAATTCTTCTGGTTGTGTAGTTAATGGGCAATCCTCCAACATACAGCATTCCTACAACATCCAATATATCGGCCTTCTTGGGGCTTACAGTTCTGTTTGAAACATCATCTACTATAAGGTTTCCTTCTTGTTTGGTTCGAGTGACTTTTATCTAAAAAGACACACAAATGCAATACAATTACACATACTTTTCTGACAACAAGGCGCTTCCAGACTGTAACTAGCCTTACAGTCCAAAATATATAACAATATGGGAGAAAGTAGCAGGAGTGGTTAACAGAAGTACTGTACTGTGGATGATGTTTATGGAACAGAGCTCCTGTGCAAGGTTTTGTGCAAACACGTGTCTGCCTTTTAATTATCTCTAGGTCAGGAGGCACCATGAATATTATTTTCAGAATTACTGAAAGGACTTGAGGTTTCTTTAAAAAGATTAATTGTCACTATCATAAGCATGCCACAATACTGTTTCTCCTGGAATCAGATAGCAATTTTAAGTACAGGGAATAGCAAATGCTGAATGCTAATGGCACTGGTGGCAAATCTTTATTGCAGCACATGTTTGCAGACAATATTGAGATTATAATTCCACTAGTTTGGACGTGCCTCAGATCGTAGTTCATGCTAGAGTAAACATAATACCGACTATGTTCTGGTGGTGTTATGGCTTCTGTTCAGACAAATGAGCTGTGAATCGCATGGAGGAAGTGCAATTGCTGAAGAGTTGAGGAAATTCTACCTCAACAACCATGGGCCAATTTCTTTCCAAAGGTTTATACTGAAATCTCTACAAATCAGTATAATAACGGTTCTGTATAAAAAAGGAATAACTGTAAAATGCAACGTGCGCATTGGCAGATTTCTAAACAGCACAGTGGTCATCTCACCAGAGTAGCACAGAGAGAGAAACAGCATTTTTCTTTGGCTTTTCTTTAACATGGCTGATCCTGCTTCAGTGCGACAGCACATCTGTCATGCAGTGGGAATGACTGAACACTGACAAGGGGTGGCCTGCAGGTGAGGGACCAAACTTGGTGTTTATAGACAGCCGTAAATTTGAGATGGACAGTTACACCCTGGGCAGGAGGAGGATTTGGTGAGGGAGACAGGAGCTGGGAACAGTCTCACAGAGGACCTAAAGAGATAGCAGCAGCATGATGTGGCTTCTGCCTGATGGACACGTTTCCACCTAAACCATTTCAAATGGAGAAAAGGTTCTCACCAAAAGGATTATTTTAAGGAGAACCCCTTGCTTTCTTGAAAACAGATTGTGGTCTTTTATTAAAGCGGTCGCCCTTTTTCCCCTCCCAAAATGGACTTCATCATGCTTTTTGGGAACTGTGACTTCGTATTTTGTCTCCATTCTCTCCTACAAAAATGGGACCTATAACAAGGGTCCCTCTCTCGCAGAGTGCCAAGCTGCACACCCAAAGAGCACAGTCTTGCATTAAAAATATATGCTTCAGTTTGTGCTCTCAGAATATAAAGAAAATGGCAAAAAGAGAAAAAAATTATCTTTGTTCTGTATCTACAGTGTCCAGCAGAAAGGGGCCCTGGTCCACTGCCAGTGCTCCTAGGTATTCTGTAAAACAGATAAACATTACTACAACTTTATTTTTTCCCCTCATGAAATTTTGAGCATTTGCTATCATCAAAAAGTTCATGAATAAAAATCCAGTGAAAATGAAATTCCTGTGGAACAGGTTGGGAATGAAGCAAGGAGGGACTAAGGATGACTCCAAAGAGGGTGTGGTAAGAGCAATTCAAGCATAACAGAAAATTCAATTAGATTTTTTTCTCATTTGGTGATAGAGATGTGGATGGTGACTGCACAAAATGTAATGCCTCTTACAGCATATTAACTTGAATACGTAGTTACATGTGTTCTTTTCTTCTGTATCTTTATTGGTGCCTTCAAGCATGTTACCTAATGAATATACTGTGTGTCTGTTGTCCTTGGCCTAGTAAATACTAAACTTCATAGTTGTGATATTATTCCTTCACTTACCACCTAGAAGCCACAGGCATTGTATATAGATGCTTCCTCTCATAAAATCACAGAAAGGGCTGCCAAGTACATCCATGAATATCACATTTTTTCCCTAATGAATTGAATTAATAATGCACAAAAGATTTACTTAAGTTCTTTTTTTTCTCTTTTCTTTGTTGTCAGCATTATGGCTGAACAGTGATATTATTAAAAAAGAAACAACTGGCTTTAATGATGTACTCAATCATGATGAGCTGATACTCACCTGAGCCCTATTAGGCAAGATGGAACATTTTCTGCAGTTCCTTACCATACATGGGACATATTCTAAATGTGTCCAGAAATATGTGTTTCCTGAAGAACAACTTTCAAAGATCAGCACTAACTTTTTTGTTAGTAGAATATGTACCATGTACTCAACAGTGCATCTGAAAGCACAAATTTTGTGGACTACAGAAATGCTGAATTGTAAGGTTTAACTTGTACAGACTACATTTTGCAAATATTTTAAGGCAAAACAAGGCTTGCTTTTAGCATTGCAGAGAAAAATTTCGCATTAGTGACTATAATACCTTGTGCCACTGGCCATCATTTATTTTGTTGGAAATCATTGTGTTGGTGTCTCCACTCCCCAGATCATAGCTGAAGTAAGGCAGTCCGTTTTTTAGGTGAACCGTAGCAAAATCAGCATGGTTGATGCGGGCCATATAAAACATCAAGCCAGAATCAGCTGTTGTTCGGACTTCAAATTCAATTGTAAGTCTGAAAATCAAACAAACAGGAAAACAGAAACAAAGGAAAAGATAGAGTCAGACAGTAGACAAATTTGTCTGCTTTACCTCTTTGTGTTCCTCTAACAAAAGTTTACATTTAGTGGTCCATTTTCCTTGTCCATCAGGGTTCAAGAAAAACAATTTGGTTATACACAAATTTTATTTCACACATATCTGATCCCTCACATGTGAGTTGTTCATTAGTCCCTTTGCTGTGGAAACAAAAAAGTGCAACCTTGGCATAGAATTTCAAGATATAATTCTCAGCTGCAGCTGTAGTTGCTAGAAAATCCCAGCGCTTGTAAAATTCCAGTGGTGTTATCTGTCATCCACACACATAATGCTCACAAAGAGGAGCGAGCTGTAGTGACAGCTGGCAGATGTTGAGTTTCTAATGAGTTGTATTGCCTGAAGACAGGTTGCAAAACTTTTAAAGATGCAGAAAGAAGAGTTTACAATCGGGATATAAAACACTTATTCTGAGTTCTCCCAACTGAAAATGGGATTGTGTCTTATCGGGGGTCTGCTATCTTGTGAAAATCACTGACTCCTTGGACCAAACGGTAATGCCAAAAACCTCTCCTACAGCAAAAAACCTGGCAAGAAATTATTTAGATTTTCTAGATGCTAAGGTTCTACTGGAAGGACATCGCTAACCTAGCCCAAGAGGAGCTACAAAATCAATACTTGAAAGTAGTTGATAGTAGAAACGTGAAAAATCTTTGCACGAAAATGATCAAGCCAGGATTCTTATTTGAAAAGAAGACAGGCAAGACTGTAGGATTACCTATTTCTTTTAATTAATTTCCTAGTTTTTGAAAATTAGCATATGGGAAAATACGCAGTACAGCATCTTTATAGGTAAAGATAAGTGTGAGACTGATGGACTTGTAAACTACAAGGCAGCAATAATGTTTAGTGGTGTGACATGGCATATTTGTTAATGATCATGTGCCTTCAGAGCAAAAATGAACTATTAAGAAGTTATAACTTCACAAATCCATTGTATATGAACATGTATATGTATATATTGTCATACTTTGGGCGTGCAACGTCATTTTGCCTGTTTACTGTGCAAGCTTCACCTTAACTGTTGAAGGAAGCAGGGAAAAAAGGTTTGCTCATTACAAGAAATTATCAAGTTACTAAACCAAGAAACTTTCTTCCAGAAAAGCAACCTATGAACCCAGTTGCATTCTTCTGTTTGTTTTTCTGCAAATTCATCTGGGATCTGTGTGCGCCCAAACCTTTACAAAGAGGTAAACTGCTTTTGTGAGAGCTACTAAGGTGGGCACTTCATTGCTGAGATTTCATGCTTTAATGCTTTTTATGCTTGCTTAATGAAATGAATTAGCCACGGGACGTGATCTTTTTCAGATTATGCCCATAATTTTGGGAGATGCGACTGAGAATATTAGAAGGGGCATTTTATTTTGACATTATTCCATCAAAACTCATTGCTGAAATAATCAACGTACCTGTTTTTCACTTTGGTGTCATCAAATGCAACTGCAATGTGGCTGTTCCTTGAAAGACCAAATTGCTTGCCACCTTCCAAAATGGCTGGTTCTGTGTCAGCAGCACATGAGTCCTGCAAAACATACAGCAATCATGCAAACTTCATATTTTGTATCTATCTCAGCTGCGCACATGCTGGAAGTCTTCCAAGTGCTCAGTAGTTAGAATATTCCACCTAGTCTAGACACTGGTCCTGCAGTTTTCCAGCACGTGTTGATGTCTCATCACACCAGCTAAAGTTATAAACCAGTATGACAGGAACTTGATGTAAAGGCAGAGCTCATTAAGCTGGTTGTAAAAGCAAATAAAAGTACTATATGAACATTGCTGCTTTCATGCCACCAGTGGACATTTGCAAGAGTCTTAAGTGATTTCCAGGCAGCTCACTGTACTCTTAGCTCACATAACTGAGTTTTACACAGTAGGATGCTCTCTTACGGAAACGAAGCAAGACTTAAGTTTTAAAGAGATGCTTTGCTGTCAACTTGAAATCTTGTCACCTTAAAAATTATGAGTTAAACGTAGTTTCAGACCCTGCACCTGTCAACGAGTCCCCCATTTTACTTCTTTATATTGTTTTACGGTTGTATTTTTTTTAATGTGCTGTTGTTTCCCCTGGTGCTGTTGAAAGGCCCCCATAAACAACAAGGGAAGCCCATCAACTGATGTATAGAATTAACAACTGTTAAAGTCCCTGAGTTGTCTAATGCAGACACATTACCCAGGAAGTAAAGAAAGAAACCCCTCCCTGTCTGTTCCACTTCTATTAATCTTAAAGTGGTGCAACAATGGAAGGTAAAATATCTTCTGCCCAGCGTAACTTTCTCTTTTTAATGTCACCAGATCTTTTAATCTCTAGCCCTAAAGCTCTTGTACAGGGGTGTCTGGGGCAATGAGAGACCACGGTAATTACCAGCTCCTACTCATGTCTAGCTTTTGTCTCCCACTGAGAGTATTGTGGAGAAACTACTCAAAGGATCTAACACAACACAATAACAGGACAATACCGCTGGGAAAAAAAACCAAACTTTGATAGCTGCCAGCTCTGTTTTTAAGCACTGTAGCTGATATAATTTTGGATTTGTGACAGCCTCTTATTTGAGCCCTGACTCAGCAAGGACCTGCAAAGCACAAGGTGTGGTGCTCTGCTGACAACGAGCCCTTTCTGTGCAACATTTTGAAAGTGACTCATCAGGCACTGAGATTCCAGCCACAAAGAAGAAATCTCTTTCCCCCTCTCACTGTTCTTCAGTAGCGTTATATTGTTTTGCCTTCACATGTCACAAAATATCTTCACAACAGTATAGAGGACTTGTAAAAATTAGTTTTCCACAATGAATGCTCTGGTTTGAATATGACAGGATAGAACACCATGCATTACGACGAGTACACACCAATCTGCAATGGAGGGAAAAAATGGGGAAAACTCAACAGACCAAACAAAGCCATGAATGTGTGATAGCAGTCTTCCAGTGATCATCAAATAGAAAAAAAAGTCATATTCCCATAATGCTGGGTAAAGTTTCTAATTCTTTTAAGCTTTACAGGTTTGTCTAGAAGCTTAACAACTATCTTAATAACAATACTGTGTATATGATACTTTCAATAGCATTTCACTTGCTAAAATTTGAAGAAAAGGACTAACCATGGTACTGGAACTACATTAAAAGAATTAGAAAATACACTAACACACACTTTTCTGTGGCACACTTTTACATATTACATGGTAAAAGGACATATTCTGACAGTAAATGGAATCCTAGGCTGGTTTGTTAGTAAAGTGTCTGGCCCTAACACTTTAGCTGCTCTCCAGCATCAGCAAATATTGCAGTTTTTCTTCACCCCGGGCAGAGGACTGTAAGGAAGGGCAAGGAGTAGGGGAGAGTGCCAAACACACTGGTGATGGTTTGAATCATAGCAAGCATACACCGATTATTTCCTGATAAATACCTATCAATAATAGTGAACGTTCATTAGGTTGATGTGGAAATGTCAGTTAAAGGAAAAACAGTCAAGAGGGCACACTTAAATAACTTTGAGGTTTTATTCACAAGCCTGTCTCTGCTTTCACTTTACCTAAGGAGAGCCAGCTTTACAGCCTTCGCAAGACTGTGAACTAGGCATGGATTATATGCCTATATTAAAATACCCCAGCTTTGTTTTTTCTGTAATGGCCTTAAGGTGTCCTAGGTTTAAACCTGGCTGCTTAATAATCTCCTACATTACCTGAGAGCCTCAAGACTGAACTTTTCAGCTGCACTTTACTTGAGTCTTATCAGATGTCAGGGACTTGACTGGTAGGTCAAGAAGCTAAGTGTGTATCACAGTGGAAATGAAGAACAGAAAAGCACACGGGTGGACTGTCACACATTCTCTTCAAACAATGCTGTATTAGCAATCACAAAGAAAGTAATTAGGGGGAAAAGGGAGCACCACTGAAACAGTCCCCACAGCTCATCGAATAGTGTTAAAAAAACAATGAAGTAATGCATGGAGAAATGGTGGAAGATACCGTCATGGAGTCAAATGCAGAAGTAATGCTGGCGCTCTTCATTTCAGTGGCAAGCGAATCCTGAGAAGCGGTGAATAACATGAAGCAGAAGCAGCAGTTACCCAATGTTGAGAAACATTTTGGCATCCGTAGCAAGCAGCAGCAGCAGACTGGTGACCAGTGTATTTCCCAACTGTCCTACTTCCAGCTCTTGTCTTGCCTTTAGTAGGCGTTTTTTCACTTGGGATTAAACTCCCCCTGCCCCTTTACATGCCGATGGATAATAGAGATAAAAAGGTCCTACAAGGACTTAAAGAGAATAGGTAATTTATTTAAGCCTCCTATGTGGAAACAGGTTTTTTTCTGCTGTGTATTTTCCATATGCCGTCCTTCTACACTGAGCTTCTGTAAAATTAACTGTCATATGAGTGCTGTCTCATTATTAAACTGTAGTTACTTATTTTGTTGCAACATTCCCCAGAAAACTACTTTGGAGAACTTGCTTAGATGAATGTAAAAACTACCCAAGCGCTTGCCTTATTTAAAACACTTTCAAGTCTTCAGAATACTACAGCCTTTTCATTTTTTTCCAAGAGAGAAAGTGGAGTAATGGTGTTTTATCTAGATTTTTATTTGGAACCCCTGTTTCAAGTTGTCATGGCTCTAGATATGTGATATACAAAACTCACCTTCTTACAATGGGACTAGTTTCTGGTATTGAACAGTAGATCTATTTCTCTCAATTTTGCTATTTAAAAGTCAGTACTTAGAGTAAGTGTGCACTTGCTCTCTCATGCGCTTCTCTGTTTTTTTATTTTGTTTATAATGCTTGATTAAGGGATATTATGACTGCACTCTTTCACAACAGTAAGCATTAAACTGGATAACCCTTTTTACCTTGCTGTTGCCTGGTTCCTTATCTCTCTATGGTAGCCTTACTATACTTCAAATTTGCTTACTTTCAACTCCAAACAGAAAGATGCATCAGAGCCCTTGTGTTACAACTACTCCACCTTGTGGGAATGAATCAAAAATGCTGCCCTAGAGCATTAAAAGGCTGATACATATTACTCTGGGGCTACGGGCAGGGTAATACCTAAGATGGAGCTTGCCTGTCTTGAACTCCAGGCTCCCATTTCCAGGTACACATTTCCACACACACTGTTTGGAAACCTCACTTGTACTGAACTATATCCTGCATAAACCTGTGGGTTGTATGCAAGTGTAACAAAATACAAAGGAGTTCCCCCCCTCAAGAATATCTTCCAATGGATATATTATTCAGTTTAATATTCAGATATCTAAACATACATTTTTCTGGTCAGTAAAATGTTGCTTCAACTTATAAAACTGCTACATTTGTGACAGAAGAAGTTTCTTCTTAAATTTCACTGTATAAGACTGCTTGTCGCTATCTAGCTATTTAAGATTTCTGGCAACAACAGTTGAGCTCAATTTATCAGTGTCTGAGGTTTCAGTTAAGTTTGTAAGTCTCCTGTCTGAAGTTATAAAATAACAGTGGAGGAATTGCCATATCAAACAGACATTTGATCTACCTCTTTCTGCATCCTGTCACTGACATGGCTGTTATGTCCTTCAGAGAACAGCACAAGAAATAGCATAATGACATGGATTTCCCATAGGAAAATTTCCCTTCCAACCCTGATCAGATATTGCTTGGCTTACATCCTGCAGTGCAATGGTTTAGGGGTAAGCATGCAAGACAAAGGGAATTCTACTGCTATACTGTTCTTTAAATTACCGTTGTGATAATCTAAGCAAATGACATCAACCAGTTTTCCATTATCCACAGGTTTTACTGACCTGCAACAAGGTGTTCCCTTTACCATATCATACTGAACTATCACTATTTTTGTGGCAAATTACTTCATTGTTCTTGATGGCTAGCTTTCTAATTTTGCCTTGGAAGAGAAATTTTCAAACTTTACTTGAGTGATCTACACTTACAAGTGCTGAAGGCAGAGATGGTGCTGGAGGTGGAGGGGAAGCAGGAGTCATCCTTGGTCTTTCTTTCTCCCCGTTAGTGTCTGCTTCAGGTTGGATCAGAACTGTTTCATGGATTGGTTTATCTTCATCCTCAGGTGGCCTAACCTCTGGTTCTAGAGAGGGACACCGGCCAATATCTGCATTTTCAAAGGACACGGGTTGAGCAAAGTCCATGGGGCTGAGAACACATAAAGAAATTGATGTCTGTTATTAGTTTTTCTGCCTTTTTACCACCCATATAAAAAGAATAGCTATATGCTGCAGTGTAATTCTACTCCACAGGACACAAGAGCCAGGATTCATCCCATATATTTTAGGTACAAAGTGGGACACTTAAATTAGCCATGATGATTGCCATTGGCCTTCCTTCCTACCGTCAGTGCAGAGAGTCAGGCATACTCTTAGTCAAGCTTTACCAGCCTAGGCAGGATGAATCGCATTGCAGAGAAGTCCTCTCTGGTGTACACTGAATGTGGGGTGATGAGATCCTAATGGAGGTACTTTGGTTATGTGAAAAAAAGACTTAGATGGGAACTTCCTATAGAGGTTGTACTTTATTCACCAGTAGAGATAAATACCTATCACTGAGGCAACTCTTATTGCAGCATTACTGTTGAATTGCTCTGATTTACGGATAAATAGACAGGTGTTACCTTGTCTGTAAAACAGTTAGTTAATTGTATAGCCTACGGAGTGTATACTGTAGACAAAAAAAGGAAGGGCATATTAAGAAAACAGACCATATTCTAGGGCTTGCTGTTTGTATGCTTCCTTGCAACAGTGAAGTTTCTTTTGGCAGCCAAGGTAGTTAACCAGACCTCATGAATTGGACATTTGTTGGCATCAGTGAGACTTACGTGGCATTAATGACAAGATTCCATATACAGCCCTCAAATGGCGGTATGTTTCTGAGAGGTGCAGTCTGAAACTGAGAAGAGGTACCCCCGACAAAGAGTTTCTTAACAGAGATGGGCTGGTCTGTTGGCAATCTCTGAGTCTGGCCTTTGTCTTCATCTACTTGAACAGTGAACATCCTGTGAAAAAGATTTGAAGGCAAAGAAATATATATTTTACTCTGGTTATTGCTCATATTGAAATCACCACTTTGCAGGCCCCGTTTACTTGTACACCAGCTATAACACCGAGCCACCCAAATTACGTAATTAGCAGCTCACATTAAATACATATTAACCACTAGAAGGTTTTCAGCTACTGCTAAGCTTCCTTAGTAGTTCTCTGACAGAGCTTGGCAAAGCCACGCTGCAGAGAGGCGATAATATCAGTTATTGTATGTATAGAAAGAAGTGGCTTGTGGTGTGGAAACTCTGACCTGGTGCTTCCAGGTAGAGCCTGGGGTGAGCCTGCTCTACTGGGATGGTAGGTACAATCACCTAGTGGTCAGCAGGATGGGAACAGCATGGGGTCACGTTTTGTTTGGGCTCCCTATTTCCTGGTTTGTACAAGTTATTATCTTCTTGCTGGGGGACAGACACTGCCACAGACTGCTCTGGTTGCAGAATCAACCACAGATACATACTGTACACTTTTTAAAAAGATCTGGTTGGCTTTTTTTGTGGAAGACGGCAGAGTAGAAGAACTACTGATTGTTCATCACGTACTGATACAAGTGCTACAATTCTCTCTCATGGGTAATGCCCATGCTACAAGTTAAAGACAGAAGACAGTGTTAAGGTTGTAGGGAGGAAGGTAGAGGCTTCTGAAGCACAGCACCACTGGCAGATCAAGCCAAGTCAAGAAATGGGAAAAAAGAGCAAAGAGGAAAGGGGTAAATATGGTGAAGGGCATTATTCTGGTAAAAGCAAGAATCCAAATGGGAGAGAAAAGCTGAATGCTCTCACCTGCCAAAGCTACTGAGATGCATATGCTGCAGGTTTGTACCATGTTTAAAAGGAAACAGTAAACAGGACAGAAAGTGAAAAACTAGTTTACCAAGCTATATATTGTGTATACTGCGAAAGCAGTGTTAACGTAAGGGCTGTGGAATTGGGAGATGGTGGATACTTTTGATGGGTAACATATATGACACGGTATAGCAACAAGAGTCAAAAGTTTAACTGCTGTCTTTGGGACAATTTACCATTGATGTAACATAGAAAATCTCCAACTTCTGAACAAATCCAGCATAAGGTGGGCTGAGTTGCAAAGGGTGGATAAGAACTTCAGAATTTCTGATGAATGTAGAATGCTAGTTGGCATAATTACTTTATGTTGTTAGACTATATTTAATAGAATTTAGCCAGGAGAAAATCGGACCCCTCAAAAAGCTATATGTGTCTCTGATAAACTCTGATATGATTTATGAAGTGCAGTTTTTATTTCAAATGTATTACAGTCATGCAAAATTAAACATCAGGACCTAACTATTCAAGCGTCTTTGACTACAGTTAATTATCTAACCCCATCTGTAACTAAGTGGCTTGATTTTTTCGGTATTACTGAGCATCCTTACAAAATATCAGAAATAATCAGTTTCTGGCAAATAGCCTCACTTTTTTCAACGAAAATTATGCTGAACTCCAGTATTCTTCCTCAACAATAATTACAAATGTTAGCAAATTAATATTGAAAATATTAATTGAAAAGAGGCCAGTTTTCATATGCAAAACACTTGGCTTTGTTATTTACGCAAGTCCTAGACAGAACTGGATATTGACTTAAGCACCTGAGTTAGATAACTGTTGTACTACATGCAAATTGTCCAATTTCCTCATAGTTTTGGATGGGTTAATTTGCTATAGAAAGCTGTAGAGTAAGAAAGTGATTAATTTTTCAAATGGTTGGAGGAAGTGGGTATTAAAATACTTATTTTTTGGGACAATCTCTAGAATTTCCCCCGGACCCTTCCACAGCGGAAACAGAAAGAGAGAGATTTCTCTGGGGGCAGTTCAGAGCAAGAGATTAATTTAGGTTCTGTGAAGTGTCCCACAGAGGACACTTCTCTCCACTGACTTCAGAGGAAGTATAGGGAAATCAGACTGTCAAGACTCGAGTTATCCTTTGTGCTGCTGCATGGTAGTCATGGCTACCGATTGTCAATATTTTCATCAGTATGCAATATTTCATCTCATCTTTAGCCATTACCATAGTAAACATTTTGGCTCCAAGCAGAACTATACAATGATGTGCATTAGTCTTCAAGAGTATCCTATAATTACATTGGAAGAGAAAGAAAATACTTCATAATTATATGGACGATTATCTCTCTGAAGAGTTTTTAAAGGATGTTCCTCATATTTAATCAAATAAAGCTTGAGTTTGCCATGAGCAGAGGAGGGGCTAATCTTAATTTATAACTTTTCACATCCATTTCAGGTTACAGAAACTGCAGAGTTCAGACGATTTGTTCTGTAACAGAGCTACGTGAAAACACAGAGGTTTCATCTGAACAAGCATCATCACTGGATGGCATTGCGCAGCAATTGTGTCTTGATGTGCTCTCACAGGTCAAGCTACTGTACTTGATACATCACTGCATAAAAGAACTTTGTTGTTTAGAGCTTCTTATTATCATCTGCATATTTGTGTTCTGTCACAGTGACACAAAATGTTTTGCAAAATGCAGTCATCCATTTCCGAAATAACTTTTTCTCCCAAAGGATTTGCAGTTTTACCTCGAACTAGTCATTGAAGCTGGGGAGAGACATTGTCTGAAGGCATTATTTACAAGATGTTTTTTAATGATACAATAGCAATTCAGTCAGAAAATCATACTGACAAAGGACAAAGCAAAGCAGATTATAAAGAGGACAGAAGGGCACCTCTGGACTAGGCAGACAGGAATTGTTGCTCAAGAAAGCTGCAGTCCTGTCGGGGTAAGAGGGTGAAGCGAGTGTCCAGTGTGCTTGGATAAACGCATTTTGTAACACGCTAGATGTCACATCTTCTTTCTGATGTTGTTTTTTAAACAAAACAGAACAACATGGTGCATAGTGCACTAATCCACTGAATGTCTGGACAATATGTCCACATTCGTATGTCCAAATGTCCACAACAACCGCTACTTGGAACAAGGGCTATTCCAGGCCATAAATAATACTGACTGCCTCAGTCCTACACACTACACTGGTGCTGTTTCTTATCACTTCTTGAATGGAGAAGTGTAATTAGCATTTTTTTACAATGTCTAAGAAAAAGCAAAGGAATTTAAGTGAAATTCTGTTTAAAACAACATGGGCTGAGAAGGTCTGCAATGGCTTTCCAGCAATAAGAATGATCGCCATTTATCTGGGACTCCGTCATTGGTTTACCATATTTAGCTGGGCACTACCATAACCCAACGTATACACGCCAGCACAAAAAGGCTACAGGCTGCTGTGCTGTTCCTGTTTATATACTTAGAAAACGGTCTTTTTTTCTACATGTCTTGAAAAGGTGATTTACTGCACCACAGCAGCATTTCTCATCCACAGATTCGATTAATAAAATATATTTGCCAAGAACCAGAAGGTTAAAGATGCCAATTCAGACACATGCAGGTCTCTGGAGAAACATGCTGATAGCCTAGGAAAGCATGTAAACCCAGCTCTGCAGAATAATAAGCACTGTCAGAAAATAATTTCTTAGAATTTTTGGATAAGGATAGAATTACACTAAATTCTTTGCCTCAGCAGAAGCATTTACATGGATTGCTGAAGACGTCGGTATATTTGCTTTGTTGAATTAGCTGTGCTGTGTGGTCTGTAGCACTTTTAGGTATTTGTTACCCTTTAGCTCTTTCTATCCGGATGGAGTGTGCTCTGCCATCGTGAAACTCGCCAGCTTCTGGTCTGATGGTGATTCTGTGGGGATCCCGTACCCCAGTGGAGATATGCACTTCTAGCCGACCTCTGTTCAGGAACACTGCATAGTAGGCCTGCAAGGTACATGTTGGTATTAGAAGGCAAGTTACATTTGGAAAGAAATTATTTCACTCAATTGTATGTTAGTGTGCATGTTTTATTTTCTTACACTGTTTTTTAATTTGCTCACCATGGTCAAGATAACTGTAGTTTCAGTTCTGCTCCTGCTGTATTCAGACTCTCTTGCATTTTTATAATGAGGAATGGGTAAAATGAGGTCACGTTGGAAAGCCTCATCAAAAGGCTTGACTCTCTGCACACCTGTTTGCAGGGAAGGATGGAGACCTCTAACCTGCAATGCTTCTGATTTTTGCTGTAACAAGACCTGGTCTTAAACCCATCAAGCCGCAAATAGCATTGATCTCAGTGTGAGTTTTGCGTTTGGAGGGCTGGCAAATCATGCTAGTAGTTACTCTAGCAACCAATATTGTGTTGTAGCGGATTTCAGGATCTAACCTCCTGTTACTATAGCAATGAGTGTCATGCTCACTTCTGTGACCTGATGAGCTGGGTAATGATAAAGGAGCCCCTACCCTGAAGTTAATGTCACGCGGGTGAGCCATTACAATGTGTTGTCCCTGGAGCGTGTTCCTCCAGGTCACTGAGAGTTCTTGTCCAAAACAGACAGGAAGGAGAATAATGAAGTATAAATTCCCAAAAGTCCTGAGCAAAGAAAGCACCAAAATACTCTGTTTATCTCTGTTGTAGTATGGTCTGTCTGCAAGGTTTTTAATTAACCAAGATGTGAATAATTTCTAACAGCAATCGCACTTTTACCAGTTAGTCACTTGGACTCTGTAGGTACTTCCTCTGAACACACTGACTCTATCCTCTTCAGAAAAGATTTATACTGCAGGATTGTATTTTACGGGAGAGGAGAGGTTGGAGCACTCTTAAATCTTGTATCCCACATGAGTGATCCCAAACAAGGGGCTTATCTTGCACTGCTTTTAGCAGCTTTTTTTTTCTTGTTGTTCTCAGGGGAAACAGAATGATCCACATTTACGTCTATATAAACAGGAATGAGAGATGTTTCCAAGCATTAATAGTGCATAAGTAGTCCTCAGAATGAGTGAAGAACAGTATTCTCTAATATTTAGGTTTGATTCAAAAAACAACATGGAAGCATCTGTACGATAGAAAAACAAATCTGGGTTTTTTTGCAACAAGCAACGGATGCCCTTCTGTAGAGAAGAGAAAGAGTTACTCCACTGCAAAAAAACAATTCTGAGCCTCTATCAGATTCTCCATCAGATAAAGGATAACATTAGAAATATTTTATTCCCAAGCACTGAATTTTAATTGAAGTATAAACATCTGACAGTAGCGTGAAACTAACCAAGAGGAAGAAGTTCAGTATGATTGTGGAGTTTTTTTATCTTTTGCTAGGTTCCTCGTACCTGTCCTGTCTGTCTGCGCTTTCTCCTCAGAGGGGCAGCCTTCTTTCCAGTGTACCCACGCTTTCTCCTGGGGGGAACAACTGTGCCACTTGTGCCAAACAAGATGATCCCAGACTCATTCTTGGTGCTGAAGGAGAGGTTGATTTCTGTGCCCACATCAAAGGAGACAGGCTGCAGTTCCACAAAACCTGGCTTGGGGAAGCTAACTGTATAAATGTTCTGTCGGAAGAAGGGGACAGGAAAGTCCATTAATAGGATTAAAAGTAAGAGTATGAACACGCAGAAAGATTTCTTAAATAAAATAATAAACTATGTAGATACAACTAGTGTGAAGACATGGGAAGTAATAATAAACAGTAAGCAATTTACTTCTCGAAGTGTTGTGCAAACACTAATTTACCTATTTACATCTGGCATCATTAGAGTATTTCTGGAATCCTGTCTTACAGGAAGGCAAAGTTCCAGTCTTATTTCGCTATATCTTCTTAGATTAAAATAACTGCTCACAGGTGTCTTTTATATGAATGTTTTCCATGGAATTAATACAGTGGGATTTTTGCTTTTAAATCAATACGAACATAAACTAGATTCTATTATTCGTCAAATGTGCTCAGAAAATACTTCCCATTAATCAGACATTATTGCTTCATCATTATTGCTTCACTAAGCACCACTGCTTTCTTGATAACTCAGGCTCATAAATGAAGCCCTCACTGTGGATGGCCCAACTCTTTGGACATCGGTAGCCATTAACACAGTCTAAATAGTAGAATATGTCATCGAATAATAAACTAACGCATACTCCTGAAGATTTTCTGTAATCACTGCCAATTCTTGTACTCTTCCAGCCAGGAAAGACCAATCTATAGAAACAGTGACTTTTTCTAAAACAACTCATCATTTTTTAGTACAGCAGAACTGATTTCAGGTATAGAGATAATAGATTAAGCTAGCTAAAATAATTGCTGACGATTATCACCTTTCTCTGAAATCTGAGGGCATTTAAATAATTGAACATATATCCAGTCTTTATCTTTTGCTTATAGTTCACTTCTTTTCAATTATTGTACATATCCTGTTTTGTACAATGAGGGTATTTTATTTAATTCCCCAACAAAATTGTTAATTCAATTAGATTTCAAATACCGAAACCTTAAGAGTTACAAAATAATGTGAAAAACTAAGTTCTTTCTAAGATTCATAGCAATAGAAGAAAATCAACACAACTATCCTATTTGGGAAAGTATCGACAATAAATGCAGATATTTTTTGCTGAACCCAAATTTGTAAGATTTAAAAGCATTTGAGCAATCTGGTTGTTTACAGTTTAGCTTTGTCCCAAACCCAAAAACTTAAATATGGCCATCTCATGACAGATCCATCTACTCTAATACCCTGTCTGAGGGTTTTATTGCTGTGTGGTTTTTGCTCTGATGAAGACCAGAGATAGAAGTGATAAACACAGCAGAAGAGGGTACCCATCTTTATTTTGGCCTGACCAAGTTCCAGTCACTGCTCAAAGGAAATTTTTACTGTTTTGGAGAAAAATATTTGGAGAGTATTTGTTTAACAATAACTCATTTGGATTTGCTGTTGTGGTATCTGATAAGGAACTCTATATTATACATCTGCTTGCAAAACTAGCATACATTTCCAGGAAAGAAATACCAACTATTTATTGGGACATAAGTGTCATTGGAAATAGACTCTTCCATGGAAAATTACTATATTCTCTCTCAAACTTAGGACCAGATTCCTTGAATTTTATACACTTTGAAAGCCTGATAATTAGAAACAGCAACAATTGAAAATAAATAGACTTGAGGTGTATTTAAAGTTAAAATAATGACACCATTTCTGCACATTCTTAGTGATCAGTAAGAAATGTGCCTTCCAACTCAATGGTAGCTCATAACAGTAAGTACTTCACAGTTCCTACCCTGAAGGTGACTTTGTTTCAGTTACCCCCAAATACACGGTGATTCTCAAAGTACCTCAGGTTTTCTGTAGTGAATAATTTTATAATAATTTGTTCAAAGACAATAATTTAAATCCTTGGATTTTATACACGTCATAATTTTTTAAGATTTTTGCAATATTGTCAGTGCCTAATTCTATCCTCATTACTGTCAGTAACTCCCATTTTAGACAGCTGAAACAGAACTAGACCACTGGTAAGCATTGCAGAAAATCCTACACTTTAGAGATAGGGATATCACAACTGTCCAGGGATACTGTCCAAGAAGTTAGGATCTGGAAAATTGGTCTACTTGCTGATCAGATTCATTTGTCTTTCATCTTTTAAATATAACTGTTCTGATTTTCAGGTTAGAGCCCTATGTGTATCTGACTGAGCCTTATACAATTCATATGTTATGCCGTAAAATCAGAAACCAGAAAACATTTATACCCATTAAGACCAAAATACATGGAAGTCAGACTAACCTCTAGTGTGCATCCTTTGGTTAGACCAACAAAATCAGGACTACTCAATATATTATATGGTGTCCTTGAAATTTCAATCTCTTTGAGGCAACCTGTATATTTCTTTAAGATCACTTCAGGCCTAAAAAAAATTTAGAAGTACAATATATTTTCAAAAATAGAGTTTAGGGAGAATACAGTCAGCCAGACACACACACGCACTTTCAGATGCACAGATGCTTGGGTTTCGTTTTTTAAAAACACAAACATACACTCAAATGAATACATCTTCCCTTCTACCACCTATCAGCACATATTGCACTCTGCCTTCCATCACTCAAAGGTGTCATAGTAGATTCATCTAATCTCCAATTCACAACAGTAGTCTTTTCCATTTTTTCTTTCTTTTCTTTAGTGTTTTGTTTGGGGTGGGGTTTTTGTTTGTTTTTTTGTTGTTGTTGTTTTGGTGTGGTTTTTTCGTAAAGGGCTGCTGTGACCTTTGGTGTTTAAATGTAGTGAGCTATGAAATAAGTAAGTAGTTGTTCCTTAGGCAAAGCAGAAAGATATAAGCTAGAAAATCATAACAATAAGGAGAGACCTTAACTGGAAGACAGATGTTTCATTCATCTTTTTGCATGCTTCATCCTAGTGAAAGAGTAACTTCAGCAGCATACAAACATTTTTACACAGTCTTTGCCAAAGACTGAAAAAAAAAATTTTTTTTTTTTTTTTTTTGGTATGCTTTAGGAATTCTTTATGTGGACTGACATTCATTTTCTATGTATTTTATATTCCCAGTATCTTTCCTATGAAAACTGCTGCATATTTGCTTGTGAAATAGCAATATATTTGACTTTCTCAGGCAGTTAAAGAAAAACACAAACACTTGGGTTTGTTACAGAACCTAACTATCCATCCAAGACAGGAAAATATTGTAACAGAATTGCAAAGTTCCATGGTTTGGCTCATCAGCAGTTTGCCAGAAGAAATGAGAAAACCCCTGAAAGTAACACCAAAGCTAGCATGCTTGAATGCAAAAGTATGATTTCGCAGGCCTGGGAACACCAGAGTAAGACCACAACTGCTGGCAACATATGAACCAGGCTTGCAAGAAGAAAAGCCTTATAAAGTCACTTCAGAAAAAAAGCTGCCATTCATGCCATGGAGAGTAAACACCCCCACCCCCCCCCCAGAAAAGCACTAGTTAATGGGGGGGGGGGGGGGAACCAAACAAACAAGCACTTCAGCTCCCTGGAAGGAAAGAAAATATTTTAAAGAATATTAATTACAAAATAAAACCATTTTGCACAGACACAGTTCAGCTGCATGATTTGGTACTGAAAGCTATTCTTTGCATTATAGCCATCCTAGCAAGCGCAGTGGATTCTCTGGCAAATGTACATCCCCAAAAGTAAGCATCTGATTTACTAAAATAATCCATATTCTGCTTTATTCACAGTCATGTATTTCATTTCACTTTCATTTTTGGTTTTTTTTTTTTATTTCCTAGCTCTCCCCCAGTTCCTTCATAGCCTCCTCTTGCCAGAAGCAGAAGTTTTCCCATGCCATTGGCAGCAGCGCCCATAATCTTCTGTCTTTGCCATCCACAAACCATTCATTTTCCTACCCGCTTCCTGCCCTGTCCAGTTACAGACTGCCCTCATGCAACAAGCAGTCACTGCTATCCTATAATTCGCAACGCATAGGAACTCTACATCCTCGTAAAGACTTAACACCTGCTCAATGTGTTCCCGACTTCCTTTTTTCCCTTGTTCCCTTCCAAAGCACACAGAACAAGGTCCAAATTCTTTCAGATCTTGCACAAATTCTTGGCCTGTTTTTTTTTTTTTTTTCTTCCAAAATAGGATCAGTGTCAAGGGAACACAAGAAAAGGTTTCTGGAGCTTGGGAGGAAACAATCTTTCTCAGGATGGGGGCGGGGGGAAGCTGCAATTTTTGTAATTCGTGCCGGGCATTAAGCCACAAAAAAGTGGAGTTCAGTTTGTATCTGAGCATATCAAAGCAATAGCCACAGACATAAACAGTTTAGTCAGAAATAGGTGACCTCTCCTATCCCCCTGCTCTTAAACTCAGAAGCGGCAAATTTCGCCCAAAACTGCACCTGCCTTTCATACCCTCCTCAGCAACTACTTTGCTGCCTCGGAGCGCAGCGCTGCTCGCCCGACCTGGCACTACGTCGCCTTTGCAGGTCAGACCCAAACTCGGCGATGCGGCTCGCCGCTTCCCAAGCGTTCGGCTGTCATAAACAAACACAGCTGAAGTAAGCAGCTGTGCGAAGAAAATAAAAGTTGCTTGTGGAGGTGTGTGCGCAGCATGGAAGATGACGGTGTTAAGCACTTGGGAGCAGCTTTGCTTGTTGCAGCAGGAGCGACTCGCTGAATTAACAGCCTTAGCGTAACAGCTGGTATAAATACTGCCCACACGCTGCTTCTGCCTTGCCGCCTGTGCTTTCAAGCTGCACTTACTAGACACATGCAAGTCATGCAAGTAATCTGATTATTTTTACCTTGCTTTCATACTAGGGTGAGAGAGAAAGACAAAAAAAAACCAACAACAAACAATCAAAATTACATTAGTTGTAGCAAATGATACTTATTAGCAAGGTTCAAATTTTTCACAGTGAAGCAGATATACATCATTTACAAACAACACATAATAAAGGGTGAGATTCTATATACACTGTCAGGCTGTAATAATTAACAGAGTTACCCTGTAAACAGCTACCTTAAAAAGTAATATATCAGACAGCTTTTATAACTCGTTGCCATACTTAGTTGTGAGTAAAAGCAAACCATGTAAAAGAATTTGGCGGAACTGACACGACCTGATAATTACAAAGTCACGGGTACCTCAGCGCTCATTGTTTGCAGTAGCTCAGCTTTGCCCTAATCCCCCTTTCACAATTTTTTATTCTAATTTACCGTAACATTCATCTTGCCCCAGTGCCTGATGAATCATAGCTGTAGGCAAAATGGTTACCACAGGTCCAAGTATCTGTGGTACACTGATTTCCTAAGCAACCACAAAGGATTTACTGGAAGATAATTGCTCTAGACATTTTGTTATGCACTGGTGTGATTTCACAATTACATAATATAGTGATATATTTCATGAGTAAAATAGATCTTAGATCTTTTTATTGCTGGGTGATTTGACATCAGAGGTCAGTTATTAACCTAATGCATTAACAAATGTGTCCATTCTTTGAGTTGCAGAACAGCCTATAGACTAATCACAACAGTTCCTTGTGCACAAGACCACTTCAAGGCTGTCATTACGCCATGTAGCTAAAGCTGACATAGATTAATGGACTAGGTTCTGTGTTGTTCATCTGTTCATTGTGGCACAGAATTGTCTTGTTCTTGTCATTGCAGAAGTGCTGAATATTCATTAAAAACTGAAGTTTTTTGGTCTATTTAAAACCACATAATACAGTCACTACATTCAAGTATCTGTTATCCCATTTCTTTAGGTTATTAAAGCTTAAGTTAAAGATTATCAATAATATACAATATTTTAAAAATAAATACTGGGAATTTTATTTGTGTAAGAAATTTCAGATCAGGCTTCCGTGAAGGGAAAAGGTTGCCATGTTTCATTCTACTTGCATTAAATATATCAAGTATTGTATCATTTACTTTCATTCCTGAATATAGGAATAATTTAATCTAAGGAGTCTAGGAACTTATGTCTACAAATAATTTTAAATAATATCTAAACACGATATTTTTGTACTTACTGAAAATATACTGACACTGGCTATGCAAAAACATGCGTACCCATTTAACAGTAATCCCATGAGGAGTAGTTTGCAGTTCAATTCTACTCACAAGGTAAACACTTGTGCTTAATTTTGTGGAGGTATGGAGCCATTTGTCTAAGTTTGAAGTCACAAATACTATTCATCAAATTAAAAAATACTTAAAAAGTCAGCTACATCATGTTTTTTGCATAGTCTCATAAAGATATACTGCACCATTACTGCTGTTTCTATTGTATTTGTGTAATGTGAGCTGCGGGAAAGACAATGAAATACACGATGTATGCAAATAAAGTGTTAGTCTGCTATGGCAATATAGGGCACATTGGGAACTCACCATTCACTTATTGCAAGTGAACTTGAGAAAAAAAATGCAGAGAATAAGATTACACTGTGTTTACATCCCCGTACCAAAGGTAAAGAAATTGGTTTGAGCCACGTTACCTTAGATTTCTCAGGGTTGGCAATCCCCCAAAATATATTTTCTCATGCCCTTTTAGGTTGAGCCCGAAGTGGCTGCCAGTAGAAGTTGTTGCTATGGTCTCTTCTTCATTGGTGTCTATGTCTACAATTGATATGTTGGCTGGAAGAGATTTGAGATCAGTTTCAAAATATCAGACATGAACAATGATGTCTTAATGTAAGAAACCAACAGAGAAATATTTGGAAGGTTAGCAGGTGAGGGGAGAGGTAAGGAGCGTTGTATTTTGCAGTTAAGACACCGGATTTCCAAATTGTCAATTAAGGGCAGGGGAAGAGACCTGCACTTTCCTCTGTTTCCATAACAACCTGAAAAGCTAGCAATTCTGTATGCTTTATTTTTATATATTCTCTCAACCTGTTTCAGTTTGGTATGTTCTTTGTGTTGATGTAATTTGGAGCTAACACTTCAGGACAAATTCAAGACAGAAGAGATCATTTTACATTTAATTTGTGATTTCAGTCCGAAGGTTGTCACTTGAGCAGGATTTTTTAGTGTTAAGCATTGTCGTTATGTGCCTTAGAGATTGGTGATCAGTCACTCTAAACCATTTTCAAACCCACAGCTGTCAGTTGCTGTCACATCTAATCTCAGTCTGGGGTCAGTGATGTGCTACATACAACCATCCTATTTAAACACTTGTTCCATGTATGTTTTTAATGTATGGATTAACACAGAATATAAAGTTCAATGAGAGAGACAAGACACAGTGAAAAATACTGAGCAGTCCCCAAGGAAGAAAGGAATATTCAACGATAGGGATGCAAAGATTCTCCCTCCCTCCCTCCCTCCCTCCCTCCCTCCCTCCCTTCCTTCCTTCCTTTTTTTTTTTTTCTTCAGACAGTTAAATGCAAGAGATTGCTTATAATCTACGGGTTCTCCCCACCCCAAAGGAATGAAATGAACCTTTATTTTAACTAAAAAAGTGACCAGCCTGATTTTTGGTTCAAGATGGAATAGAGTGAGTTTGGAGATGAAAGACCTGTCAGCCTCTTAGAAGATTTCAAAGGGAGGACTGGCTGGAAGAGGTAATGTAGAATCCATGGAGGGGAAGGAGCAATGGGAGGATGGGAGGAAGAGTCTTCTCTGATAGAAGCTCTCCCCACAGTTGAGTCTCTTCTAGCAGCAGCTGACTAAAGAAATGCCTTAAAAGAGAGAAGGAATATGCAAAACCTGAAACCAAACCATTCTCCGAAGTGAAAGAGAATTGAATAGGGGATAGACTTTCCTGCTGTACCATACTGTAAACAGATTACTTTTCCTTTAATTTCTATACCTGTATCTTCTTTATAAACACATGATATGCTTGAATGGTATTAATAAATTACAATTCCATGACACTGTATTTTATCTTAATACCTTCTGAGTTAAGTATGAGCTAAGGTAACTGGCTAGCAACAAGGCACTCCTCCTCTAAAGGTACAGCATATCTACAAGGGAGAGCTGAGTTACTTTGGCCAGTGTCCCAGCCCCTGAGTTTACTTCAGCCAAATGACAAGAGGGTGGGTCCGTGTTTGAGATGCGAAGGTCAGGTAAAGAGCTGGCACTGCAGGGGCAGAGGAGGAAGAGTGTGTTCAGGGGTTCGTGGTGACCCTGAAGATTCAGAATGCAGTAAGACTTCGGGATACAAACGCACAGAGGATGTCATAGATGCCATAAATAAAATTAATTTGGCTGAGTTAAGATTCTACCAGTCCTAAAGCTAGATTAAAAACAAACACAAAAAGGGGTTTTGCCAGCATGACAGCCAGCATTCTTTGTAATCTTCACAAATGCCACCACTTCACATTCTGCACCAGTAGTACAGTACGCAGTGCACAGGTTAAAGAATTAGTAATACTTTTGAAGATGTTCTCGTTGTTTTCCATGCAGAGTCAGATCATGGCACACTGCATATCATTAGGGAATATAAAAGTTGTGTTTGTCTGCTGAGGTACTGTACTATCAGTACTGAAGTCATCATTTTTTTATGCGCTTTGGGATATGCTGAGCATGAGAGGACTGTATAGCATGAAAGCTATTGCTGTCCTAACAAAAATCACACAGATTTGTTTTACGATTTTGAACAACATCAGGGAACTGATGAAAAAGTTTCTTTTTTCCCCACTCAGAACCATTTTAGAATGTAATTTACACAACTGTAAAGCAGAATTATGCCTGAAAATTAAGCGACGTGTTCATAAAAGGCCTGTTTGACAGTGCAATCACTCACGTACAACTCAACACACCTGTAATTTAAGCAAAAGAAGTAGCTAAATCACTAGAATGTTATAATTCCAGCAATTTTGCACAACTTCCCCATGATTAGATGGTTAGCTGTACTGCACAGGTAACTGGGAAAGTCATGGTGTTGAAACCACAGGAACTCACCTTGCTTTTGAATTCTTGACAGGGTGAAAGATTTCCATTTGCCATCGTTATGATTTTGGTTGCTGATTACAGAAGCTGTGCCTGAACCGAGATCGTAGCTGACTTTTATATGGCCACCACTGAGTTCTACACTCATGAAATCCTTCTGTTAATGGAAAGGATTAGATACACAAATTATGATTCTTGTTCATTTTGGTAAGAGGCATATGACATTAAATAAACACTTTCTTTTCCTGCGTGACAACAGACACTTTTTTCAAGTTTTTAAAAAATCTACTTAGGCATTTACTGCCCAGGACTGTAATGTACAAAATTCTACTGCCAACAAGTTCTTTTTCCCCCCCTTTTATTCTCCTTTGGATTGCTAACTTGGTTGGAATCTTGCTAAAAACTTAGCTGGAGTTTTGATGGGGTGTCTGCACTTTTATTTTCTTAGATTGAAGACAGAAATACACATTATAATTACTTGAAACTAATATTTAGCCTTGACTGTATGCCTGTACTACAGGTAGTGCATTTACTACACACCTCAGCTAGATTTAAACTTGCCAGGTAGAAAAAAAAGAATAGTAAATATGGTAAAACAGGTTTGTTTTACCGGGGTTTCCAGAGAGTAATCTGTACTGATGTAGCAACAGAGAGCTATGAACTGTTATTCTCATCAACCACTGACACAGGTATTTAAGCAGTAACTGGAGATGGTTGACTGGATCAACAGTATGCACTTCAGTATCTACAGAAAAACACCTGGCAGGATACAAAGAGCAAAACAAATAGCCAAGGAACTGGATAGCGTGAAAAGCATTAAGTAAGCAATGATGGAACTACATCCCAGGACACAAATGTTCCAGAGAAACTTTAAGTTTAATTATCATTTTGCTCATGGCCAGTTCCACCTGTACTCAGAACTAAGGAGAATGAAAATACTTTACCATGTGCTGACTACTTATGTAAAACTGTGATAGTAATGTTATGTATAAGAACATAAATTTATGTTAAGAAAAAAAGAGTCAAATTTAACAAACTCAATATTCTAAATGCTTATGCACGTCTATGCATGCATCACTAGAGAAATCATCTTCAAAGTTTTTATACAGTAGGACAATATATTAAGAGACAAATTGTGTCAGGGACCAGTTGCCTTCCAGATCCCAATGTTTTTCAGAAGTTCAAGTACATATTTTTTTCTAGAAGGTGACATAAATGAATAATAATTATACAAAACAATTATACAAAATCATTTAAAATAATTACATTAATTATACTTCAATATTCAATTATGAAAATTAATTAGAAAAACTACGCAATTACTTAATTATCATAATAAAATGTTATCTTTTACTATAATCAGTCAGAAGGAGCACCCTCCTCCTTGACAATTCCAGCAATTCTGATAATTTTCCCAAAATACAGGAATCTGAAAGAAGACTGATTTACACAAACACGGTTTTGTAAAATAGTGAATGCTGAGTAATTCTTCAAGACATCTGTTGGAACTGCTGTACATAATTTCTGGCCTGTATGACAAGGCTAAGGAAAGGACCCTCTTCCCAGTCAGGTGTGCAAATCAATCTGGATCAGAGATGCTGAAGCTGAGTTACTCCTGATTCATGTGAGGATCTGGTCAGATGTCTTTATAAATAACTTCTCCCTGTTATCCACACACGTTTGATAGTGTGTGTGAATAAAAATCTTGAACAGATTTATAACTAATGTTTCTATTCTCTAATTTAGCTGTAAAAAGCACCATTTGTAGACCTGGTAAAAACATCATCACCATGACATCCTGTTTGTTGCACCATTCAGTTCCCCTTTAATGCCACTCACATTAAACACAAACTTTTTCTTTGTATCAGTAGGACTTCTGTCTAAGATTTGTCTCTTCCCATATTCTCCCTGCCCTCACACTATGACATTTTAAACTGTGAACGTACAACCACAACTGAAAATATTTGCACAGCTAAACATTTGGCATAAATGAAAATTAATTAATAGTTTCAGAAAAGCTGGAATTCCCCTCAGTCTAACATAATGCTGCCAGTCAGTAAACACTAGGTAGGCAACTTCCACACTATAACATTGTCTTCATTTGGACAGCAGTGAAGCATCATATCAGGCAACATCATACCAGGACAATGTTACATTAAATTACTATTTGTTTTCATAATATGATGAATTCAGCCGCTGCAAAGATGGTATGAGAGCTGGAAGGAGTGTGGAGGTTAGCTGGTTGTTCTTACCAAGTCATCAGTAGCAAGGTACATCAGGAGGGCGTTCGATGAGAAGGTCCTGAATTTGAACATGACTGTGGAAATATTGGGGTTCCAGCGAATTGGGCGGCTCACCATGGCGTAGCTGTCACCATCGAACTGGACCGTCCCCTCACCGTCTGCCACCTGTGGACTGAAAAGAGGCAATTCCAACCACTTTCCTTGCCGTGTGAGGTTAAAAGAAAAAGACGGGGAGGGGGGAGGGGCTATTGGAGTCAAGGGACACCTCTTGGGAGTCTTCCTGAACTTGGTTTGATTTCATATCGAAGCCCTGTTCTGACAAGTGGCGTTGTAAGGTCAGCTCACCGCTTGTCCAACACAAAAGCACATCTGGGAGGAAGATGGAAGAGGAATATGTCTCGTATATCTTATGGTCTGTAATGATTCATTTTGCAATCCTCAATGTAGAATAGCATTATGTACTCTTTCATCTTGTAATCAATCTTGGTTTTGCTATCGTTAGTGATTTTACAACTGAAAACTGAAAACCCCGGAAACCATGATTCTCTGTTTACCCACAAATTACAAACATCACAAGAGCAGAAGCGTCAGTCCCTGCACAGTTTTTGGCATTCCTGTCATTACAAAAAAGAAAATATCAGGCCTTGAGTTTGTTTGATATGATTTTTATGATAGACTCTTTGTCCATTTCTGTCACACAGACCAGATATAGCTGCAAAACGGCAATCTTTTGGTTTAATCACAAACATAACTGAATTTTAGTATGGGACCTACATGCGAAATATTGGCCAGGAACATATTTCCCATTTATCTTGGCATGCATACAAGGACCTTGAATGTATCCTCTCACCTTCCATAGCTACATTTAACATTTAAGTTTTTGCAATTAGATTTTGCAGAACAGGGCTCTTTCTGGTACTGGAACAATGGGTTAAGGTAAAAGGTAGCTTTTAATGTGGTTTTCTAGAAATCTCAAATTTAGTATTCTTTTTTTTTAATCTCCCTCCAAGCAAGCAGGTCTACACTATCACTAATGAATAGGAGAATTAAATTTAGGCAGAGATGCGCATAAAGGTTTAAGCATTTCCATTAGGAGCTGCTTAGAACTGAAATGCATATGTCCATCACGATGCTGTTTAAATTTCTACCTAAGTGTCCAGGGCCTACATTTGTAGTAAAGGAAATCCTCTGGTATTTCCAAAATTGCTTAAGATCACAACTGGAATTTCCATCACTTTCAAAGGGCTACGCCTTAGCATGTTGTCAAACCAGGCTGCTAGTTTGAAAACTTGCCTACTCTTAAGTTCCTTAGCTGGGTCTACAATTATTTTACCTAATGCTGCATGAGCTCTATACCATACACTGATACTGCCAAATTCACTGAAAGCCAGGAGCATTTAAGAGAACAGTGCTGCTTTCATGCAGTGGGTCACTGTGAAAGCCACAAACAACGATGTGAGAGACCCAGATCCTGTCTTTACGTGATAATTCCCAGGACTGTGCTGCAGTATCAGGTGGTCCCTCAGCTTTTGAAGGTGAGGCATGGCACAGGAAAGTGTTTGAGATAAGTGTGGTGGGAAAGAGGAATGCCTGTCACAGCTCTCAAAGGCCAAGGACACACCTGGAAAGGAAGTAACTTATGTTGTTTTAAAATTTCCAAAGAGAGTTAAAAGCCTACATATGTGAATCCTGATCTTGCCTGGATGGACCATTTACCCTACCTGTAACCACAGGTCACTGACAGGGACAGGATTTCCCATTCTCTTTTGAGAATGGAAACACCTTTCTCTTGTGGGGGTCTCTGCTCACTACACTGGTGGCTGTGAAAGCCACCTTGAGGCATCTGACTCTGCCCCACACTGCGTAAGAGGTACAGGCACCTGCTCCACAGCTGTCCATGAGCCGAACTCACTCCCACTTTGGATCTCACTCCCTCTCACGTTTTGACTCATAGAATCATAGAATCACTAAGGTTGGAAGGGACCTTTAAGATCATCAAGTCCAACCATTAACCTACCCTGACAAAACCACTGCTAAACCATGTCCCTAGGCACCACATCTACCCCTTTTTTAAAGACCTCCAGGGATGGAGAATCCACCACCTCCCTGGGCAGCCTTTTCCAATGTCTAATAACCCTTCCAGTGAAAAAATGTTTCCTAATATCCAGTCTAAACCTCCCCTGACATAACTTGAATCCATTTCCTCTCGTCCTATCACTTGACACCAGGGAGAAGAGGTCAGCCTCCACCTCTCTACAACCTCCTTTCAGGTAGTTGTAGAGGGTGATAAGGTCTCCCCTCAGCCTCTCCTCCAGGCTAAACAACCCCAGTTCCCCCAGTCGTTCCTCATAAGACTTGTCCTCCAGACCCCTCTCCAGCTTTGTAGCCCTTCTGGGGACATGCTCCAGCACCTCTATGTCCTTTTTGTACTGAAGGGCCCCAAACTGAACAAGTACTCGAGGTGGGGCCTCACCAGTGCCGAGTACAGGGGTATGATCACTTCCCTAGTCCTGCTGGCCACACTAATCATCATGGTTACTGGTTAGCAGTCTCTCCATCACAGCAGTGTTACACTGTCTTAATTCTATTAAGACACCAACCACGTTTTTGACCCAGATTGGGTGCTTTCCCTCTTGGTGTACTTGCAACACCTCTCAGCATTGCATACAGGTCACAGCTGTCTACTGTAACTTGATGGCTGCCGTGGAAATTCCTTTTTTTCCTGCTGCTTACCACAGAAGGCAGCGTCACCACAGACAGGTTCACAAAGGAGCATGAGAAGCAGTCAGTCCGTTACCTACCTGACAGCACACCCTTTGCAGTCACCTTCAATATCCCTGAAATTCCACAGTCCTATGGGCTTGCTGTCTAGAAAGGTCTCACCCATGCAGCCAGTGAAGGTGGTGACTCTTACAGCATCTGACTTCTGCAACAAAAAATGCAAATCTCATCAGAATTCAATCTGAAGTGATCTACTGTGTCTAAAATCAAAACTGGTATGAAAATAACAAGTACCAGAAGATGCTTCTTATTATTTTAAGTATAAATAGCAATAATTAATCTGAAAATTCCTCCTATTAAACAACTGATCAGCTTCTTATTATTTTAAATATAAATAGTAATAATTAGTCTGAAAAGTCCTCCTATTAAACAGCTGATGAGCAAAAATGTGGGCTAAACTTTGTATCAGTCAATGTGGAAAAGCCTGTTTATTTGAGACTCTGGGGAACACCTAGGCAGAACAATTCCTGGAGAAGAAGGAGCTGCCCTGGCTTCCACGTCACCCTCAGCTTTCCTTGCTATTCAGAGAGCTGCCTTGTCCCACTTGTTCAAGGTCTATCTGGGTTTTTGTTTAAGACTTCATAAGAAGGAGTATGAGGAATCTTGCCTGCAATACAATAAGCAAAATATTTCTACTGCATTTAATGCTCAAAAGCCTGGCGTTTGAGCAGATCATGCAAGATAAAAGACCAACTGTGAACTCAACTGGCTACACCTGTAAAGTTCATGCTAAATTTTGGATGCAGAAAAAAGTGCAGATGGCAAAGCAATTGAAACTCATATCCCATCAAAACTCATTAAGCTAGGGTCATGCACATGGGGTAATGCTCATTAGATTATAACACGGTACCATGATCAAGGTAGTGAGATTTGACAGTACACAGAGTACTCAACTCAAAATTATCCTTCTAAAAATACCTAGTTTCATTTAAATTTCACTTCATCAATATGAGCTGATTGAAAATCTATATACTTAGCTATTTGAAATAGACAAGCACCTGCTGTTTTCCATACAGCAATTATGAATATTAAGATCTTGCACGAGAATATAGAGAAGTGCAACTTGAAAATATTCAAGGAAAAGTATGACTCAAAAGACTTAATGTGTTGGTGATATTTCCCAGGGTAATTGGGAAGGTTTTAATTAGCAACAAGTATGAACTTAATGTCACTTCTGAGAAATTCATGACATCTAAGTATCATAGTCTTCTACTCAAGTCAGATGAAAGATGTTTTTAAAAACTGAAAATGAGCCTTCTTTTTGAATACACTGCAAAGATGCAGGCAAAAATGGATGTGGACAGAATCCCAGGACAAATCTAAAGCACTCCAAAACCCAACAGTATGATGAAGCAAATTTCTGAGACTAAGATTGAAAAAGTATCAGTGACCTTGATAAATGTCCAAAGAGCTACGTGGTTTTAGAAGAGTCTCAGTTAAGGTCTTCATTTTTTGAGCCTGACAACTGTACCACACGATGACAAAAATTTGCAGAAAAGTAAAATCGTCCTTTATCTTTTAATTCACAGACTGTGTCTGAACAGAGCAAGTCTGATAGTGTTTTAAACCCTGAATTGCAACTATGCCAGCCATACCAAACTTACAATACACTACCTTCCTACCTCTGCCCTTGTCTTTATTTACTTGGAGAAAAAAAAAAAAATCAGGATGGCTTTCCTGACCAAGATGAAAAAGTGAAGAATTCTCCAGAAAACACCTGCAGAACTCTTATTGAGGTTGAAAACGGCTGTTCTGGCATCAGACTTATGCAGCATCCACAATTCCTGTTCCTGTTCAGCATCGCACCTCATACTTGATCTTAGGACTGTTACGTGCTATATTGTGCTCACTACCCACCTCTGACTCACTGTATCAAACTAAAGAAAAAAAAGGAAAACATTCAGGAAATGGTTCAGATTTAAACGTTACTGTGTTCCAGGTCCTCTTGTTTACCATGAAACATCAAGAGCCCTTGAAATCTTTGGGGTTTACTATGGAAATTAGGAGTAGGCACAACACTACTTTATGCTGTGGCACAGAACAGCTGTTGCTGAATTTCTGTATCATCTTTGATTCTCTGGATTCTTCATGTAAACAATCCCACCGTCCATGTTTCCAACAAAGATGTTAAACAGCACCAGTCCCAATACCGACCCCTGAGGAACACCGCTCGTCACTGGTCTCTCCTCGGACATCGAGGCATTGACCACAACCCTTTAAGCGCAACCATCCAGGCAATTCCTATTCCACCAAGAGGTCCATCCATCAAATCCATTTCTCTCCAATTCAGTGACAAGGATGTCATGCGCTACAGTGTCAAATGCTTTACACAAGTCCAGGCAGATGATGTCAGCTGCTCCTCCCTTATCTACCAACACCGTAACCCTGTCGTAGAAGGCCACTAAATTTGTCAGACATGATTTGTCCTTAGCGAAGCCACGTTGGCTGTCACTGATCACCTCCTTATTTTCCACATGCCTTAGTATAGTTTCCAGGAGGATCTGCTCCATGATCTTGCCGGGCAGAGAGGCGAGAGTGACTGGCCTGTAGTTTCCCAGGTCTTCCTTTTTTCCCTTTTTGAAAATGGGGGTTATGTTTCCCTTTTTCCAGGGGTTGTAATGTCAATGTAATCAAATTTGTTACCAGTGAAAACAACAGTAGAAACTAAAACTTACCCGACATAACAAAAATCCAAGAATGAAAGAAAGTTGAGAAAAATTATTAGGTGTGGGAGATAAAGTACCTCTCCTTGGTTTATTTCCATTCCCTTTGAAAAACATATCAAAGGGACAGAGAACAGAAAGCCAGTGAGGCCATTCTGGTTTTGTAAGGGTCACTAATCTCTTCAGTATCACTTTTAGCAACTGATGATTCATTAATTTTAGAAAGCAAACAGCTTTAGTTGCCCCTAGATAGAAAGCTGGAAGGTAGAGAGCAAACCTTTGTTTAAGGCTGTAAGGTGAACATAGAAAAAGATGGCAGAAAGTCTGCTTTATCTAATACTTAATTCTCCAAGAAATTCTTCAATTGACTTCCTTGACTATTTGCCATATGAAAACAAATGACATAAAAAAATGTGCATGGCAGTTATTTACAACCTTAAAGTTCAACAGGAAACGTCAAAATTCATTGCATCTGCATCTTCCAAACTTGAAAATGTTCGTGATTTTTTGTGGATCTATTTCAAATCAAGCAAGAGTGTGCAGCCGTGAATTCTACTAATATGGACTCACTCACAATTTCCTAGCCCAAAATCTCATGACATTTTCTCCTGTTCCTATGAATCCTAGTCCATCAGGTGTATCTCAGTTAAGTTAGGTGGCAGTTGTATAAGTCTTACTTTTTTTTTGTGTGCAGAAGCCCTGAGTTATGAACCTGACCAAGTTCTTAATGAAGTTACCTGGCTCTGCTCCAAAACACATGGATAGCTTTGAAGCTAAAGCCAGACTTCAAGTCACTGATTTCAAGCAAGTGGAATCTACATTTTCTACTCCCCTTGTAGCTTCTGATTTTGTCTGTGTCAGTCTGGAAATGGGCACCCACACTATTCTTTGTAAGAAAGGAATATGTCTATCCACATACTCCCAAACCAGAACCATCTAGAAAGGTGAACTTTCTATTCATATTAAGGTTTACTATTTTTGCTGTACGCCATAACAAAAAATGCCCACATAAATAGCCAGTTAATACACCAGCACCAGACAAGACATTACCTTTATTTTTCCAGTTAAACCACCAACAAACAGCATGGCATTAGCATCTACATCCAGAATGGTGTATCCAGGTGGAGAGACAGCACTGAATGTGGCTGGCACAATGCTGGCTTTAGGACCATCCAGAGCTCGCACTGATATTGTGCCATTTTTCCCAGTCCTAGAGATTTTAACAGAATAATTTAAGCATACAGACTCAGTAGTTAAACCAAACATAGGAAAAGTCTATTTTAGATGGTATTTTTTAATAGAAGCATGTATTACTGATTCGATTATGTTCCATTTTGATACAAATTAATAGACGCTGATGCCTGCATAAGTTAAAGACATGATCACAGAACAACTTGTTTTTTTCTCAGTGTCCATTTTGAACAATATTCACTATACAGGTGAAGCAGAACTTTGACTACAAAAAAGAAGCTGCATTTTTTTTAATTATTGTGTTGAAATTAGTGTTAAATAGTTGTTGCTTGATATAACAAATGATGCAGGCAAGGTTCCAAAATAATTTTCTGAATTTAGATTAGATTTGAACTGAAAGGAATGATCATGTGACAAAGTACTTCAATTTGCTCATTATGTTTATGAATGTTACCTCATTGTCCTCTATGAACTGTATCAAATACTGGTGGTAAGAAAACCAAAAGAATTTACCATTTGTTAATAGTTTCTGCAGCAGTTCGTTTCCTACTCTTTAAGTTATATTAACGTAGTAACTGGCACGGAGAGTTTGCTGACATTTTTACAATAGAAGGAACAGAAGGTGGAGAGAAATGATTCCCCCTAGCCTTTCAGGTATATAGAAAGTTATTTCAAAGGAAACTTGAATAATTTTGAATCTTTTGCAATAATTTGCTTAATATTACCTTCGCTTACAGGAGCATAGGTAGTAGCTTTCCATTGAAAGCTTACTGCTTATTTAATAGAAGTAAACTATTAGTCATCTATAATCACATCATAAATTAGTGTTTCCTCCCAGACAGATGGACCATAATTAACACACATAATTTCCTATGGGGCCATCATATAACTGTAGAAATAAGCATGGAGTGTGACCCAAATCCTGTCATGTGCAGATGAAGTATCTAGTATGTGTGGTGGAGGAGTTGCTGGGAGACAAGGTAGGCAGGGGGAGATCACATACTGTGGTTTTATGGATAACTTTGGAAATTGCTGCTTTATCTCATTTTTAATAGGATGTTGGATTTCCCATGACCATTGTCATGTTAATTTGGAAATTTCTAACATGGATGCCTGATCTTGCAACCCTAACCAGCACTAAAGCATTCAGCATGGACACCAATATTGCATGGAACTTTTCTAACTTATATGTTTGATAATGCAGAAATACACTATTTTAAATAAAACTTACTTCCTTTTTCCATAACAGTTTACAAAGAGTGTATACCAACCAAGAGTGACTACCCATGTTTTAGACTACAAGTGGTATTTCACTGGCTACCTGATTAGACTCTAAAAATTGCTCAGTACCTATTCTTAAGCCAGACAAAACAGTTTTTTCTCAGAAAACAGATTTTATATCTAATTTGTGAAAAAGGTTTCTAGGGAAAGGAAGGAAGCCAATTAAATAGAAGTGATAAAATTCACCAAAAATTTCCACATGTAGCTTTTCTACATGAAAAGTTACATACTCATCCTATCAAAATACCATCAAGTCACAGCCAGAAACTAAAAAAAAATAAATACCCCTTTGATTTTCTGAAGTCGTGAACTTTGCTGCATGCAAAGATGCAAAATTCCTTTTTTGTCTAATTGGAAGAAAAGAAAGATTGGCTTGGGGTATTGAAGTAACAAGCAAACTAAAAGTTAAAAGCAGTACCTTTCAGGAAGAATTGTCATTTCTGTTAAATAAATTTTTACTTGAAGAACTTACGTTTAGAGCACAGCAAGGAACACTGCATAACTTAGGTTACTGAATATGCTAAATGAAGTCATTGCTATCCTGCACTTACAGAATTCTTGGATTTAAGACTATTCATTTTATGTCTAAAAAACACTTTTCAGAAATTCCTTTGGCTTGGAACCTATTACCCCCCAAAAAGAATGAGTTGAGTGTTTTCTTATGAAATAACAAAGAACTGGAAAAAAAGCCACTTAAATTAAAAAAAAATAATAATAAAATTTAGTTGAGACATTTCAGTTTTGACAATCTTTCCTCAACTGTGAAGCAGGGTTCCAAAGTAATTTTGAGGGTTTCCAATCAATGGGGAATACCTTTGTAGATCTATGCCATCTTGTCTACTTTGAAGTCAGGGATCTTAAGGCTTTCAATGTGAAAAATACATATTTGCAAAAAAAAAATCACTGGAGGTCTTCAATTACCCACCCATACCTTGATCTGGCAGGTCTGGAAACCACATGGATGGGACTCTCAGTATTCTAGGGAATCTCCTCAGTGACCTCTGGGCTATGTGGACATGTAGTGGCTCCAAATCATTTTAAAGAAGTTGGCTAAAGCCATGCACGTTATTCTAAAGGATTTTTTTAAATTTTCCTTTTAAGGACAATATTTTACCTTGTATTCCAAAATCAACTGAATGCTAAGTAGATAGCTTTCATGCAGCAGAATTCCAAATATTCACTTTATTTTTTTCAGAAAGTTTATTGATGTGAAGCCTTTTAAAGGATAAAAGTTCTCAACGTAGTAATTGTTGAAAGACTAACAGTTGCTAAAGACATTTTTTTAAACTGTTTAAGTTTGATGCTCTGTGAAAGAAAGTCATTGGCACTTTCAATCTATATTGTGCTGAAATCAAGACTCCAGTTTAAAAACATCAAAGTTCAATAATGCAGAAGTCACTGAGCAGATTGACACTTTTTAGGGTGTCTAATATGTCACAAATAGCACAGATGTCTTTCATCTTCAAACAGACTGAAATGCTAACAATGGAGTCCTTCCATAAATAATTCTCTCTTACTTAGGGAGGACAACTGAGCTTGAAGAAAGAACTTGGCTAACTCGACAGCAAAAAGACATTACTATCCTGTGCACGACAAGTCATCAGGTTAGAAGATATTGTTTTACTGATAGTCAGGTCTTTCAAAAACTGGTGGATTATAGAAGATGCACCAGCACTTTGTGGCTGATCATCTGAAAAATTTAAGTAATGTCATGCATACAGGGTTCATTCTTTAGGAGATGCATGATGTAAATGAGATCTTTTGCAAGTCACAAACATTAGATTACAAAGTACCATGTAGAAACCTCTGCTCCTTGACCCCTTGAGAGCAAAGAAAATCTTAATTGGAAAGTATGGCTTAGATTTGCCATCGTAGTTTAAAACTGAATTCTTGCTGAGCTGGGCTTGATGTGTCCACAGTGAACTTGTGATTCATGTGTCCTTTGTCCTTAAAGGAAGGGTGATGCTTAAACTCTGTCATTAACAATTAAAACAATGGTAATACTTAAATCACACCTGATTAAAATCACAACTAATCAGGTTTGGCTCCTAATTGCTGAAGTCAAGTGACATAGTTTCACTGATCTAGCGAGTCTCAAAAATATTGTCATCTATTTGACTGCTTCACAAAATTGACATTATTTGCATGTTTCAAACCTGCTTTAAATCATTTTGTCACAAACTGTTATGCCAGATTTTCCACTGTTAATTGATACTTGAATTGATTACCGTTCTTGGTGCCAATAAGATTTTCCTCTGTAAGCAGGTAAGTAACTCTGTGACATTTGTCAAATTCCTGTACCATCAAAGTATAGGAAATTCCTGTAGGAATTCCTACAGGAATAAACAAATTTTACTTCAATGCCATAAAAATAAACTAAAATATTTCCATTATAATATCTGCATATACACTAAAATGCGAAGTATTAGTATGGTTTAAATAAAAAGGTGATGAAAATGAAAAGCAGCCCTGGAAAACAGATGCAGTAATTATCAATTTTGTCTTAACACTGTGGAAATTTTGGCACAGACATTAACTGAACTGAACATCTCTGATCATTATTCAACAGTCAGCTTTTTCGTATTTCGATTTCATTCATTATGCTGAGTGACCTTGAAAATTTCACCACCTCTGTGCCGCCACCATGTCCTCTTTTTAAGGCCCTTTGGGATCCTTGGTTAAGAACTATCAACCTTTAATCCTACCATACCATTATTATTGTGTGTCAATACCTGTCACTACTGAAATCTATGGCAAAATTCAGCAAGGGCAGAATTTCATCTCATGTCACCATTCTAAGTAGATGCCCTGTTCCAGCTGTTCAGGCAGCTCTGCCAGGTTGCTGAAAAGTCTGTGGCTGGAACTGAGCAGAAATTTGGAAAAAAAAAAGGTGAGGGAACGAAATGAGTAAAACTCTCCAACAGCTTAAGAAGGGAGTCAGAGGAGAGTTATCAAGTGGACTAAAACGTTCAAAGTTGAAGAATCTTCAGCAGGGTATGTGATTCGTGAAGTCTGCCTTAAGAATGCAGAATCAGTCTCAAGCTCTTCATCTTAATCCCACAAATCCAACTAATGTCTCTGCAATGTAATTCTCCTAAACACTGCTCTGTACTTCAGATTTGTGCAGCTGTAATTGTTCTAAAGTGCTGATCCAGCTGTTTGTTCAAAACTAATGGCAAGCACACCCTATATATCCAGAACAACCAACTTAATAGGCAATGTGCTTTTGTAAGATGTGTGAATTTTTATACCATGTCCTGGCTCCATATTCTGCTGAAGCAGCTTTATTGTAAATGAAAGTCTGGCATTACTGTTTCACAAAGCTATTTTAGTATGCATAATATGAACTGGTGAAGACTTCCACAATTCGTATTGCACCCCACTTCGTATTTTCCTAGCAATAAGGTTTCATTAAGGCAGCTTCTGGAAACGGTGCCGTAATGTTATTTAATTCTCTGCTCTGAATGGCTGATTTCGGTGATTTCACTACATTATTTAAACTGGATGCCATTTCCTCCTCTGAGAGCTATGGATGTAACCAGAATTAGAGTGCTTTGTTTTCTTTCTTCTTCTTTCTCTCATTTTCTGACTATATTATCGGTTCCACGTTTAATACTATGTGAAATTAACTGTAATGACGCAGGAGTAATTACTCAGCTTCTTATCAAATTGCAATATAGATGATGTTATCTAAATTACTAAGATCTGTTCAAAAGTAGAAGGTAAATGATATAAAGTTACATAATCCTTATGCTGTAATTACTACACCAAATGTCATGCTTTTGCTATTTGAATGGAAAATATAAGCTTCAACTAAAACCCATGAAATTTGAATATTAAAGTATCTATACTTCTAAAGTTCAAAAGCATTCAACAGGTGATCTCAAATGACAAAGAACTGTCCGGAATATTTCATCCTTGAGTTTTCATAAACTGTATTTTTTAAAATACCTCCAGTTTGAAGAGACATTCTTCCTATGGAAATGGCATTTTGAGTAAGAATCAAGATACTGGTGTATAATAGACCATTTATTTGCAGTATTGTATCAAGACCGGAATTTCAGAAAAGCTGCTCCTCTTTGAAATTCAGGAGAAAAGAATAGTAGTTATCTGTTTGAGTTCCAAAACCAGTAACAGATTTTAAAAGGAGGCTAGTTGAAGAAGAGAATTGATTAAGTGATAGATAAACAGAGGGAATATAAGTAGTCATAGATTGTTGATGCTAGAGGGGAAGTATGTGATGAAAATAAATTCTTGACACAGAACAATTCACATTTCAATAGTAATTGAAACACTTTTGGTACGATTGGTTCAAAAGCTTTCATTAAACCAGACTGGAATTTCTTATAACATCATCTTTTAAAATAAAATTGATGTTTCAAATGTAGCAAACATTTCGATTTACACCTGAGGTATGACAACTTGAGGACAGTGGATTAGAAGGAGAACTTGTTAAATTTAGCCATTTTTTCTTTAGGAACCAAATCTTGGAAGTAAAATATATACTTGCCTAGAGGCTTCAATCCGGTACCAAAACCCATCATCAATGGTCAGATCTGGATACTCTACACGTCCAACACCAGATCCCACATCCCACAGGAAGCTCACCTTGCCTTTGCGCATCTCTATGGCCAAGAAGTCAGTCTATGTGGAAAATATGAAAATAGAAGCAATCTCATACCCTCATTAAAGGAAATTTTCTACAACTCTTCAGATTTCAGAAGGTCTAATGAGGCATCAGAAACCCATATATAGTCAGTAAAGTATGAACACTAATTCTCAAAGCGATGTAAAACAAAATTCTCTTTTTCCTGCTTTCCTTGGTTCAAACAAGGAATCTTAAGCTAAAGATGGCAAATGACTTCTGCAGTAAATGCCTGCTAAACTTACAGAAATGTTAATATTGTAGCCATCAAGAGAAGGATTTAACTCAGAGTAATGTTTGTAGAACATCCATTGGATGGCAGAAAGATGCCAGGATTCTAGGCTAATGCATGATGCCACCTAGCCTCTTCATTTTGTATTAAGTAAATAAAATATATAGTTCAAAATGTTAGAAATAGAAAACTTTTCCCATTTACTGAATTGTTATTGATTATTCTAGAAGTCTGTCTGCTATAGGGCTCATGGGAAACTGAATAATTCATCATAATTATGCTTGAAACTGTAGTCTTGACTTAGAATTACAATAAATAGGAGCTTTGACAGAAGGAAGATGATTAGCTACTTCATTCCCAAAGGAAAACCCACAACCAACCCCAAAATTACCCTGGTTGCACTGTGAATTTTAAAGCTCTAATGTAGTCCATGTACAAGTACATTTCATATCTAGTTAAAATTAAAAAAATATTTTTAAAAATTACTGGCCATATTTTAGAAGTCCCTATATTAATACCAAAGATAGTAAATGTCTAGATTATCTTATGCCCTTTATTAATGCTCTGAAGCCTCTAGGAGGAAATAAAAGCCTTTTTCATCTGTATTTGTCAGTAGCCTGATTTGATCGAGCAACTCTGATATGAAAAGCAGGAGACAGACTTACAAACTTGGCACTTCCAAGGTAAAAAAGCAGATTGTCAGCAACTACAGTCTTCACATTGACAATGACGGTGTTGTATGTTCCCTTCTTTATTTCTGGTCTATATGTGCGAATACAATTGCCTCCAGAGGACACGGACACTTTGATCTTCAAAAAAAGCACAGCAGAAGGAATTCAGTTTACTATTCATTATTCCAGCAATAATGTTAGATGGTTCCAAATAATTATAAGAATATTATACTTTTTTTTCTTCCTTCCCATTTCTGTGTTACATGTTGTGTTACAAGGAGTTGCTTGGATATGCACAGCAGGTAGAAATGGAATTTTCTTTCTGGGATTGTCTATTAAAATAAAATAAAACTCTTTCTGGCATTCACATTTGAAAGGATGAATTGTATGGATTAAAAATAACCAGAAGATATACTGGTCTAATGCAAGCAGCAGTGGAATTCTAGCAGTAAAGATAGTCTACAAGTAGAATGTGCAGCCAGGAAAATAAGCAGCGCTCCTGAAGGGATCACAGCACATTGCGATCGGGTAGACAGGATGATCTATTTTTTTCCTTGTAATATCTTTGATTATGCCAGTTTAAGACACCTTTTAACAATTATTTTTAAACCAACAGCTGTGTCTGCCACTGCTTTTACATAGCCCCTAATGGAGTTGGTATTCATAACTACGTTTCATTTTCGCAGCTGAGTGACATGCATTTGGATACGTGTGCTAGTTTCCTCAGGCTCTGAGCACAGATAAAAACAGTAGACTGTTTGCTTTCATAATGCCAGCATAGACATAATGACAGTACAATGGTATTTCAATTCCAGCTAGACATGTTTATGTATTAGAGTAGATATACATAATGGTATCACCTTATGCTTAGGGCAAACTTTGTCAAAAAGGAGATCCATTATATGACCAAACTCACAATTTCCCTATCTCAGAGATGCTGAGCAGTTAAGTACTTCAAAGCCTTCAGACAGAAGATGAATGTAACAAAACCATATCATTACTGTAGCCTGTCTTTGTATCATGGACAAATTTCAGCAAGTATACAGAATACACTTCTCTCCCAGGATCCTATTAATCTGTAGATTTTATTTTCAACCATTTTTTGGGAAATTTTCATAAGTACCATCTTCAAGAATTTTTTTCCTTTGCTACATTAGATCACCAGCTGAATAACATTAGTATTAACCAACTGATCCTCAAGTTTAGAATATTACAGAGTCAGAGAGATGGACTCCAAACTCATTAAATGGATTAGAAATACATTCTTAACTCAAGTTCAAGTCTTTAGAACTGCTACTGGGCAAAGAAAGTCAAGAATATGGGAAAAGCAAATACACTCAGCAATTTCAGTGAGTTTGAGATGGAGTCATTCTCAGGTAACATAAGTTCTATGAAATGAAATCAGGGGGTTAATATCAGAGCTGAGACAAAACAAATACATTTTCATGTATGTGACTTCTGCTGTACTATCATCCACAATACTTCTTAAATAATAACCTTTCTAGATACATTCCTACAGATGTTATCCATTTAACAAGGGCATGTTTTAAATGTAGAAACAAGACACGGAGTGAAAATCATCAGAATATTCTCTTTTCATCTGAGAAATTATACTCCATTACTTGCTCTCTTTACACATTTACAATTAGAAAGGATTCGCCCTGTGGAAAAGAAATAGAAAAGCAGAAAATAAAATCCCATCAATACTCAAAAGGTCATCTTACTGAGAAAGAGGGCTTACCGAATTGGCTTGCTTCCGAGCTTGGTTTATCAGCTCTTTTATCTGAGAAATGTTTTTCCCTAAGTTATCCTGAAGTTCTTTGATTGGCTTGATTTTATCTAGCAGGCGATCTGCTTCCTTTTCTAGAGTTTTAATACTGGAATCTGCATCAGCAACTTCATAAGAAAGAACACAGCAGAGTTTTAGAGACATGTCAGAGAGTAATTATACATTGCAATAATAAAATCCAAGAAAAATCTGCATACACAATATTAAGGCGATTGTATATGCTACTATGAGGTACACACAGACCAGGAAGCAATCTGAACAAGATAACATAAGAATATTTAGAATCAAGTTAAAGTAGCAATAGTAGCAAATGCAGGTGTTAAAGCAGGATTTTGAAGCAGTAACTATGCTCCAGGTCAGGACGATACTAATGGAGAACATTTCTCTTAGCAAAATACACTATGAATTAAATGTTTATTTTCTTTTTTTTTTAAACTCAAATTTTGAAGAAAAATGCTAGAGTAATGAAAACTAGTTAGTTTCCATTAGTAATTTCTGAAACAAGGTTAGAATTAACTGAAGTTAATTCTTGAATTAACTATAATGGCCACCACTAGTAAAAGGCTTTATTCTGGCCACAAGTATAAAATTCTGTATGTGTACTGAAAGCATATTAAAAAACAGTGGCAGTAAATTGCAAATATCTTCTCTTTTTCAGGTTAACTTAATGATTTGATAAGGATATTTTTTCTGTCTTTTTCTTTAAGCTTCAAATTACTTTTTTGCCTCTCAACATACAACCAGTGAACAATGCCCTCTCTTTGACCATTCATAAGCAGATCTAAGGATTGCACACTTGGCTAGCATGAAGGTATGGGTTTGTGTGGATGACACTGAAAGGAACAAACCTGCATTTACCAGCAGAATGTATATTTAATAATAATAATAATAATAATAATAATAATAATAATAATAATAATAATAATGCTTAGATAAAGCTGAAAGTCTGCATATCTAGCTTTTGAGTAGTCACTCAGGCACTGATACCAAACCTTCAAGATGCTTCTTAAGTTTCCACATATGTGAAACTAGTTATCAAGTTGCTTTATCTCAGAACCCTTCAAAAAATAACTATTTAACTATTTCAATGAATGTGAAATGTAGAGCACCATGCAGAAGCTTTGGTGGTAAGCAGTGAATCATCATGGAAAATGCACAATAAAAGCAGCAAGAAAGACAATGTACGTACTGATTTCTGTAGGCAAGATATGGAGACAAAGAAAAGAGAAAAAACAGAAGATAATATAAGAAAATGTTTTGAAGATCTAAACAGAAACGTAAAGTAAATTAAGTCAGGATTAGTCTAGAAAAAATGTATTATTACCTTTTACATATTGCACATCTACATAATGAGAATTCAGAGCCTGAATTTTGACACACAAGAGAGGTGATGCCTACTTTAGCATGTAGTCGTGAGCACCAACATACTCACTATAGACATTTGGAGTGATTTACTCTACATTTACTTTAATCTCGTTCTGTAATCTGAGTATCCATTAGCAGTTGGAGAGTGGTAAAAGTGTACTTAGGGCGAACATCTTCCAGTTAAGCTTTATCTGACATGAAAGAATTTGCAAGTGTTAGGACCACTCCTCAACGTGAATCAAATAATGGTGACTGGGGACAATCAAGAGATCGATTTTTAAATTATTGCTCCTAATCTCAACTAAAATTTTAATGTACACACAGTCTTAGAATGCTTGGGCTGGGACAGATGACCTAGTCTAGATCCAGCAGTGCCAAGAAATTGTTGCTTTTCAGCCACTTCTCAGTTGCTTATCACTACACTGCCAGAGGTCATTGTTACCGCATAGATCTGCTTGTTCCATAACTCAACCTAGATTAACCCCACTATTTCAATCAATAACTACTTTTCATATTGTCCAAGCTAGTATGGATCGGTCTGCCTGATGGGGATTATTCCTTGGGCTCACACATGTAACTCTGTTGATGAGGGATCAGGAACTTGCAACAGGCAGGGAGTGACAAACGGGCATTGGGATTAACTTCTTTTGCTGGTACAGGTACAGTTTGAAGAGGATATTTGTCCATAGAATGAGAATGACAGCCTCCTAAACTGGATGTTTGTAGGTGCCCAGCTTCATCAAGCTGACAACAATGTGGGGAGCCCAGGTCAGCTAAGAAATTAGTCCTTCAGTAATTTTGTAAAGACACTGTTTTTGTGGTCAGCCCTGGCTGTATACACTTATATGGTATTTTCCAGTAATCTACCATAAAATGTGTTGCAATTTAGAATTCAATCTCATCCATAATAACCAAAATGAAAATGCTAAAGCAATTGTCACATTTGATAACAGAATTCACTGCCAAAAAAAACCCAACCATGCAAAAACCCCTTCCCAGAATCTCCTTTATCTCCTTTTTCTCTCTCTTAAGTGTCTTCACGGTTCTATCAAAATAGTAATGTATATGAAAGAAGTCATGCATTTCTCCCAGAACTGATTATCTGACTGACTGAAGACAGAGTTAGTGTGTGGAATTTTGCTTTAATCAAGGGGTGAATTGCCAGCCAGAATCTTTGATTATTCACCTCCTAAATACTTTACAAAGTAGTCTGCAGAACAAATCTATCCACTACATGTTCATCCTGCTGACATTACCTTTTTTTCCAACTACTAGCAGCAGTCCTTAAGATTTAAAATTCTTTTTATATATAAAGTGCAGAAAATAGAAGTGATAGAGATTCCTTTTATCCCAGCATACTGTAGTAATGCCAGGTGAGTGAAATTCTGGAGTGTCTCTGTTTCATTTTGAGATGTGAAGTGAAAACCACGAACTGAAAGAAACCACCACCAAATAACCCAAAAAAGATCTTACTGTTCTTCATAGGATCCTTCACAACAGCATTTGTTTTTGCCACGTCATCTGCAAGTTTACTGTAGTTGTTTCTCAAGCCCAGGAGATTCTGGTTGAGGTCTTTAATCTGGGCCAGGACATCATTTGCAGTATCATTGGCTTGTCTTGCTTTGTCTTTGGCTGCCTGAACCTTTATAGCTGTATCTGTAGGTAGAAAAGGATAATGAAATGGTTGCCTAGAGTACAGAATTTTCCTTCACACATCTTAAGAATAAAGTTGGGTCAAAATTCTACCATCTTAAATTGTGTTGTGTAGTTCTTTGGGAGCTCCTACTTCACATGTAGTAAGACATTAGTAGTTGTAAGTGTGGATTGCAGAATCTGGCCCTTTATGTCCTTTTTGAGACATCAAATGCACCTGAAGAAGAGAAAATGCTCCGGCCTCATTTGTATGTAAAGGACAAACAATTTTTATTAGGCAAATTTTTGTGCAATTTTGTTGTTGCTGTTGACTCACTGGTTAACCTCTGACCAAGTGTCAGATATACTATTTGATACTTATACTAGAAATAGTACTTTCAATGTTGTGATGTACAGAGTACAGGAATCTAACTTCATGTGTTTCAGCTGAAATTGTGACAAATAATCTTGTGAATCAGGAGACCAAGGGTTCACTGACTGAGTTAATCTCATGCTTGGTGACCTTGAGCAAAACAATTAGTCTAATGCTGCCCCACCTGCAAAATGGAAATGAATGTTCTATCTTTGGGGTGAAAATATTCAAGTCTGGAATGTTTTTTTTCTGCTATTGATTAATAATAAAACAGACAGGTAGGTATTCAACTAGGTATTTCTTCAAATCTTGTGTTCGTAAATCAGATTGCTTTAAAACTTATCATGCAGCTGTTGAGCAGCTCAGGTGCTGTTGCCAGACTGGGATTATATCACATGATGAGCCAGCAGCACAGGTTGTGCTGGGTAAGGGAGCTGCCAAATTTTCTGAATTCCCACAAATGGGAGGAAGTGAGCAACACAAAATGTTGCGGTGGACACGCTAGCCTGCAAGGGAATCCTCGTGACCTCCCACTCTACCATCACACCACAGTGGAGTCGTGAGACCCACAGGAACATGCTTTGCCACCTGCCTCCCGTGAAACTGTTCTTGGAGTCGCTTTCCCCTTGTGTTCTCCAGGGTATCCTCATGTCCCTTAGTCATATGAGAATTTTGGAGTGCAGCTCAGAAGTTTGGACATCTATGAAACAACCATGTAGAGATAGTGCCACTTGTTATACTGACTGGGGCTTCCTGTGGTAGTCCATGAAGTTAACAGACTGCATTGCAGTACTCGGGAAGGCATGCGACATTGTGATTTCTTAATTTCTGACTAAGAGACAGTTGGCAAGAGTTAGTTTATACCAACATTTGCTTGAAGCGAAGTTGACAATCCTGATTCTATGAATGCGTGAAGACATGAAATAGGGACATTTTCTCCATTTCAAGGGATCAACAGCATATGTTTCCAAATGGTCTCCTAGGTAGGTTCTTCTGTGGAACATCTGATGCAATGAAGCTTGTGGCCCGGGGAGCACATGATGGTTCCTAAGGCCATACAGAATTGGTGGGTTTGTCCTGCACACTGGAGAGTTACACGATCCTTTTTAATTTCTCGAGTAAAGTATTATACCTGTACTCCAAACAACTCCACCCTTATTTCTGAAGTTTTGGCTCTGAAAAGCCCCCAAGATGCAATAGCACCTTGAAAATACAACTGAACCTTTAATAAACTATTATCATCATCAGTACTGACAAGTGAAAGAACAGAGAGCGCTGATTGCCTTTTTTCACTCCTCCTTTTCATCATATCTAAGTATCTCTTTTTGAGGCCATTATTAGAGGTCATGCACCTTTCCGGCAGAGTGAAAGTTGGAGTTACTCTGTTACTTCCCTCTATTGGTCACACAAATTACATTTATTTTCAGCCATGCTTTAAATCATGCAATCCCTGGACATATAGGTCCTTGTCCTAAGGTGATCTACCCGTCTAGCCCATTTGAATCTTTCTGCTTTATTTGGCTATTAGTATAGCATGGACACAAGAATTATTAGTTTAAACTGCTCTCTGCTCTCTTGAATCCTTGAAGAACAAGATATATGACAGGGTCATTTCATCTCCCATAGGCATTGGTTGTTTCCGTGTTGGACAACTAATTTACTGCATTTTCTTATCTATGCCATTTATTTGCTCTGAATTTCATTCTTAATACACATCCACTTGTTTTTACGAGTGTCCTTGTCCCAAGAGCGAGCACCCTGTAACTCTAACCTGACAAGAGTTTATTACATTGCTAATGGTTGCATATTTCATATTTCTTTTACTTGTTTCATATTTAGTATTCTGTGTCCTAAGGTCAACTGGTCTTAGAGGTCCATTTTCTTTGACTGAGACATCTATCTGTGCACAAGAAGAGAAACAGTCATGTCAATGCCTGTGGCCAAAACCCGGGAAGTGGCAAAAGATGAGCCTGACATACTAAAACAAATTTTTGTGAATGCCTGATTTCAAGGATCACTAAATCTCAAACAAAACTTTTCAGTTATCTGGAATCTTACAGCCACAAAAGTGTTCAAGATGAATAGTAAATTGTTTTTCATGCCAAGTTTTTACTTGCAGTCTGAACATTCTAGACCATCACAAATCAGACAGAGTATAGATTTTCTTTAGAGGCTTCTCTTAAGGCGTATCTCCAGTTTATAAAGTGCTCCTTGGAGAGAAAAGTCATAGCAAATTACATTGATAAAAAACTTTTTATTTTCCAAAACAAACATTCAGTTTATCACTGTCCATTATAATGAAACTACTTTGTAGCTTCCTGTCTCTCGCTATCACAACACAAAGTAGCTAACCTCCCAGGACTTCGGGATTTTAATGAGTATTACAGATATTTTTTTTAAAATTTTTTTTTGGCTATATAGAATTACGAATGGCCGTAGCACTTCAGAGTTCATTAAGGAAAGCCTGTTCCATTCTAAGCAATTTACAGTCTAAAAATGATATACAACACCAAAAATAACTGGATATATAACTGCATACTGGATATATAACTGCATACTGGATAATAACTGCATAAATCAATGGGAGTCTGGTAGAAAGGTAAGACAAAACCCAGCAAATTTCATACTGCCTTTTCTGTAAAGTCAGTAATTCTTGGCTTAAATTATACCTGTTAAATTATAATGGTTCATTAAACAGTAGTTTCATTAAAAGACTTTTCACATTTAAAGAAAAGACTACTTGTCTCAGATTGTATCATAATTTCTGATACCATAATTCTTTTCTTTCTGAAACCTTTTGCAAATTGCAGAAATGTGATACCTTTCACTGTGCCAAAATACAAACGGAAACCACATATCTGTTTTCAGTTCAGCTCTCTCATATTGCTCATCTTGGTCTTACTACAGCGGCCAATGGTCAAAGTGGACACCACGTGGACACAGGCAAAGATTAATCAAACAGATGTTAAGTAACTGAAAATTAAATAAAAGAGCAGGGATAAGTCAAGTGTTGCAGCACTTTTCCAGCTTACCGTTAGGAATGGCTGACAGCTTTCCTAAGGTTTCATTCAAAGTTCTCAGGAGAATGGAATTCTTCTCATCAGCATCTTTCAGCCTGTTTTGCATGCTGTCCAGGTCATTCCTCTTTTCTATAAAAAGTGCACATAGAACAGAAGCTTTAACTCTTTGCTTTGTCCTTTCTTTGCACAGAATTTAAAATTCATAATAATGAGCAAGCCATTTATCATTAAGATACTGTATTGTGTAAATAAGGAAGTCCAGTAAAACTGGTTGTAGTGTTCACTGATAATCTTCTGTTTCTTTAAGTTCCCTACTTCCATGGGAAGCATCTAAATGCTTGGGTTTCTTGTACTGTTGTATATTTATCAAGGGTTTTCCTAAGGTGCACAGAGGAAAGAGACAAATGACAACCACAGATTATGTGATTTATGCAAATTCACACAATGACCCACTGATAGATTCAACAAGTGCAATATTTAGTCATAGCTTTGATTCCTAGATTAAGCTATTACTGACATTTTCTTCTTAAAGGGGGTTGGGATGAATTACTTGAACATAGCGGGAAAGAGGCAAGATTGATTAGGTCAGTTTACTGTTGCAATTAGACTAGCCAGAGCCCATTTCTCTTGGATTTTCTCAAAGATAACAAATGTTGACATAACATTTGAGGAAAACACATGAGATCACCATAGCACTGATCATCAATATGAGGAGAATACACTAACAACAGGTTATTATGAAATAAACTTACTAAATTTGGCAGGAAAAAGCCCACCTAGTAAATAAAACTCAAAGCTAAGAATTTGTCAAATTCGAAGAACTAGTACAAATCAAAGGCACAGGTGTGTCATCTTTGGTACGTTACAGATGAAATGAAAGTTATCCCTTACAGGTAAGTTCCTATTCTTCAGCAGTTACTTTGAATAAAAATCATGGAGTTTTTTGGAACAGTATCCAACATAGCAATGATTTCTCAAACTCTCAAAAGCGAGATTCCACCTAAGCTTTATGGTTATTTAAACAGACATTATTTCAAAATTTAGAAGTAAAGTTTGGCACAGAAAATGGTAGCTAATGCTTAAATTACTATCTTTGGGGGCATTTTTCATCATTTCTTCATATCAATATGGAACTCTTTAGAACAGATAGCTGGTAATTCCTTACCTTAAAGGCGTGCCCTACTGGGAAACTAATTCAACATCACTGTGCTTGACAGCAGGAAGAGGAGAATAATTTGTAGAAAAGGAGTTCAGGATATAAAGTAAGACTGTGACCTTCAGATATGTGACAAGTGATTGAAAATAAACACCTAGTTTTTGGATACTTATACAAGTAGGTACTGGGATAGGAAAACATACTGAACATGAGGTTTCTCAGTGAATTACAGTCACATACTTGTCAAAACCAGAAAGCATCTCTTTTTATTAAGGGACAATAATTAGATCTATCATCGGAACTCCAGCATCTCCAACAGCATTAGGGCTGTAACCCTTTTGTGAGAGAATAAGCAGACTACTAGATTAAAATGAGGGACCATGGTTCACGTTCCACAAATTCTAAAAAAGTAAGGTGTCTTAAAACTAGTTGTACAAGAATCAATTTGTAAAGAGAAAAATCCAACAAAATGTATATTAACTACAAGAAATCATTAACTAATTTTTCCAAGATTATAGCAAGGCTGAAATAGCGGATGGAATTTAAATGAGAATCATACTTTTGTTGTTATACCCTTTGAAATGTCATTCAGGAATAAATCTGTTTGCTTTATTTAAATTAGAGCAGCACACAGGACTGCAGGTGTGCCTGGAAGTAAGCCTTCATTCCTGCAGAATGTCCTGCAGAGGAAGAGGACATTTGTGTCAACTGTAAGAGGCACAGTTAACACTAGAGTAAAGTTGTGAAGAATCATATAAATTATAAGATCAGACTTCTCAAAAACACCTTTATTTTTAAATGACAGGTTTTGTCTCCAGTGCTGAATGAGACTACTGGTAATACGATGTTGTTAAACCAGGATGAACTCATGAGATTCTGGTCTTAAATGCTCTGAGACTTCATTGGAATTCATTTCTTGTTAAGTAATAATACTGACAAAACTGTTTTAATTTCCTCCATTTAATTCTGAAATTACGGTCTGCCTGATATTTCCTTGGTGTCTCTGGTGCCTTTTGGGAAGTCAGTGTTTATAAAGTGTATTAATATTTCGGAGATATTTGATTCGTTTCCCGTGGTGTACTAACTTTGTTGCATGCTCTTAAATTATCTCTTTTTCTTCCCTTTACTCTGCCAGATCCAACATTATGCTAATTATCCCCCAGTTATATTTCTGAAGAGTCATGTTTCCAGGCTTCTGTTTTCAGCTTTGTCGCCATAGCAGCAAACTGATTTTTATGGATTTTAATAAGGGAAGTTTCCCTAGAACTCCTAAAATTGAATACTGAGACTCCACCTGTTTAATACTTTTTTCTTTTCATTCCTCAAATATATTTTAACTGTGTGTTTAAAAATATTACAATAATAAAGCCATAAATAAGTGCCCTGAGGGAGGCTCTTATATAAAGAGATGTAAGGACATACTAAGGCTCATGTCAGCTTTTCAAGAAAATTGTTCAGTTTGCACAGTGATATTAACATGAAATTATATTCTGAAGTAAGTTCCCATACTGTAATCCAGATGGCCTTTTCACTGAGTACCAAGCTAATTTTGTGTATGAATCATGAACTGAACTAACTTCGTTTCAGCTTTTCCCCATCCTTTAATTATTAGCATTTATGAAAAATGCTGGAGCTGAGTTGCGCAACTCAAAGAATTGCGGTCAATGGCTCAATGTCCAAGTGGTGACCAGTGGTGAGTGGTGTTCCTCAGGGGTCGGTATTGGGACCAGTGCTGTTTAACAGCTTTGTTGGTGACATGGACAGGGGGATTGAGTGCACCCTCAGCAAGTTTGCTGATGATACCAAGCTTTGTAGAGCAGTCGATATGCTAGAGGGAAGGGATGCCATCCAGAGGGACTTGGACAAACTTTAGAGGTCGGCCCGTGTGAACCTCACGAAGTTCAACAAGGCCAAGTGCAAGGTCCTGCATGGGGGTTGGGGCAATCGCAAGCACAAATACAGGCTGGGCAGGGAATGGATTGAGAGCAGCCCTGAGGAGAAGGACTTGGCGGTGCTGATTGATGAGAAGCTCAACATGAGCCGCCAATGTGTGGTTGCAGCCCAGGAAGCCAACTGTATCATGGGCTGCATCAAAAAAAGCATGGCCAGCAGGTTGAGGGAGGTGATTCTGCCCCTCTACCCTGCTCTCATGATCTTTAAGGTCCATTCCAACCTAAACCATTCTATGATTCTATGATTTGAAAGCCTGAGATCGTCCAGTTAATCACAGTGGCTAGACAAAATACAGGCAGCTACAAAGTTTTTCCAAACTATATAGCTTATCTGACTTGGAAGAGGTTAGCGGGTCTACACTGAAAGATGCCAGGCACTGTCAATTCACATTAAAGTATAGGTTAAGGAGTATCCTGAGAAATTTTTCTCAGTGCTGTTTACACTTGATTAGCTCTGCACAGGGATGGCATAGTACGACAATCAGTGTACTGTTTATTGTTCAAATCAATGAATCTATTAATGCAACACTGAAACTAAACCCTAAAGAGTAAGCAGGACCCTGAAGGACTTTGCAGGTATGTGCCTTTAGGTTTTCTGGCTTGGTTAACCCAAACAAAGATTTTCAATCTGTTAATATTTCCATTGTTAAGCACAGCATTACAGAATAAAGCATCATCCTTTTTTCCTCTAAGTGAATAAACTGATATAAGTCAAATGAAAATAATAATAATAAAAAATCCCTACACTCATACATTTCATTAAGAACTCACTAAGAACTTACCATTTATATGCAATGATTTATTTTTACAGGAGCTTACTATTATTTCCAAGTGTCTGCAGATCACATACATACGTGGCCCTGGTTAATTACTGATGACGTGCCACCATTGCAATGCCAGTGAAAACAGATGTCTTCTGATAGTATGACCAAATACAGTTTTCCATGTGAAACTGTCCAAGAAGATATCATATAGCTATGCTACCCAATGCATATCCCCAAAAAGCAGAAAAAAAAGGTGGAAATCTATCAAGGAGGAACATATGCAGCTGGTTTTATTGACTGGATACTGCACAAATGAACTGGCAGTTACACACATCTCTTTCTGTTATCTTTGTTTTCCTTCTTCCAAATAGCATTCTTGCTTCCCATAGTCTCATCCTTTAAAGAAGAAGATGGGTCATAAGCTAAATTTTTTTCCCTAAAACAGGCAAGACTTAGAAACTGGCATTAGGAACAATCAGGGGAAAGAGATATAACTAGAGAAATGCAGCTAATGATGGTTGACTTTTAAAAAAGACTACTTTCATCACCGACTGCAGTTTTTGTATGGATATTACGGTGGTCATCAAACTAATGCAATAATTTGCTGAAAGCAATATGCCAGGTCAGCAAAAATACAAAGCAGAGTAGGATACATAAACAAGGGATTTAGCTGTGCTTATCTTCTGGAAAATGTTTTAGCTAAAAATATTCATGTGTTGTCAGACAAGACAAGTCACGCTCAACTTGTCAATTCTTAAGCAAAAGAAATGACACAAGCTGAATTTCAGTAGCCACCTGACAGCAGTCTCCAGCTGAAGAGGAGTTTATACATCTTATTTTCGCTTTTCATTGATCAGTTTTGACAAAGTCTGTATATAGTCTCAAATCTGCACTGGGGCAAGTATATTTTTAAAACAGTGAATTCAAAATTAAAAGGAAGAAAAATTGCTCCTGGCAAACTGAAAATCCCTCAAGGCACAGACAGAATGAAGCTGGCAGGCAGCAGCCATTCACTCATTTGTAGCCAAAATTTCAAAACTCCTTCTTAGCCCGAGCACTACATACAGATTTTGCTTCTCCCACCAGGATTATTCCTTCTAACTCCTAGCCCCATGGAGAGAGAAATGACTAAATCTCCATTTTAATAGCTTCTGTCAGAAGCTTTGCTTTGTAAGGACTGTTTCAGCAGTTTTTAGTGGTAATATAAAACATTTCAGTGATTAATAGCCGTTTTATAACTAGGGTAATTGGCCACAAATCAGGGGACTATCATAATGTGGCAAGAAAATACTCCCACCTCCGTCACAGCCCAGCCTGGATTTCTGGAGTGCATATTAGTCGAGGGGCTTATGGGTCTTCATTACTTTAATTAATGTACTACCTGTAGTGCAGACAGAGAAATTTTAAACTAATGATTGCTTCTGTCTACCAGATCTTTACAGAGTGCCCATCATCCATCCTGTACTTCCAGTTGAGATTCTGAACCGGGTGGCTTTATAAGAACCGTAAGAAAACATAGTTCTAATTAGTTTTACACTCAACTTTCTCCTTCTATCCTGGAAACACCAAGACATCCAGAAGCGATTATGCTCATAATACTAATAACATCACCTCTTTGGAGCAAAAGAGAGGTGAGGAAAAAAAGAAATCTGTCATTGCATTTTATTCTTATGCATCTGCATTCTGAGCACAACATTAACTGATCTCTGTGGGTCACGTGGTGGAGTATGGCCATGGTTTATCACATGCAAAAAGGTGTACTGTGAAAAGTTCAGAATGTTTGTCTGTATGAAGCACTTTAAATCTAAGATATATCAGAGAGCATTAAGAAAGCTCCGTCTCATTACCCTTCAGTACGGGGCAAGAACATAGACAAAGAGCTAATACGTGAATTTTAAGCACTACTCCCTGCTTGCATTAGGGTTGCTTCATGAATCCTTAGACTGTTTAGACCTTCACTTCTGAACGATGAAACTGTGATCAACTTAAATTCTCACTGGTGTAAAATGGGAGAATAACATACTGTTTTCGAAAATCTCTGAAGTAATGTCTTATTGAGGTTGTAATTCACCTTTTCTCAGGGTTAAATTGGACAGTCTTGTGGGCACATGGAATTGACATATATCCAAGTGCAGGCACTATTTTATTTATGCCCTTGAAAACAGGGCACTGTGCTACGTGGAACACGATTACTCTGATACAACTGCCCGGGGAGCACGCAAAGCTACAGACTCCATTCCGTGGTGTCCAGTCTGCTCAGAGGAACACTGCAGCAAGGAAGAGGCAGCACTGCTGTTTTAGTGTTTCCTATACACTAGCCTGTTACAGTTTGCCTTCTAGAAAGGGGCACTAACAGCATCCTTATTCGTTCTACTTCAGCCATGATCCTTAACTTGCACGCTGGCTTCCCCTTGTAGTTTTGTGATTTTCTGTAACACATTTACTGAAACATGCCCCTCCAGCCCTACATCTGTACTGTATCTGGCAGTAAAGAGTCACAATAAAGAACACTCTAAATATACATCCAAGATTTACTAGTAACTGCAGGCACATTTTTTTCTCAGAGCAGCTACAAGAAAATAACAATGTTTCTAACTCTCAAACAGTGTATGACAGTGAAATGTAATTAATGACCTTCTGAAACATCATGCTTTATGACCTTATTAAACATTATGTTTACTTGTTAACTAGCTCTGCAGATGGAAATCCTAGAGCTGCCAAAACTAAATGAAAGTGTAGTAATAGCCAAAAGATGATTCTAAGTTGTATGGATCTCATCCTTCATGCTGTATGCATCTCCCAGGAGGCCAACGAAAATTTTGTATGTTAAAGCCTGAAAAACTGGGCTTTATTATAAAAATCTGTCTTGTTTCTAACAAAAAGTATTTTAACTACTCTAGCATGCCAGGGAAGCTTCAGGCATCGTCTCAGTGACAAGCAGTTTAAATCTCAACCTCAAATATTTACTGTGTGATTCTTCTAGTTCTGATGCATGAAACAGCAACAAAAAAAAAAAAAAGGCTTGATTTTCAGATCTTATTATGAGCAAAAAGTATCATCTGCTATCTGTTTTCCTTTCCTAGTCTTTATTTCTTCCAAGTCCTAAATCTGTTTTCTCACATAGGTTTTGAAGTCCTATGCTTTTCCCATCCTTGTGGTTAATACCAGGTTAACCCTATTATAGCTTCAGCCAATTGAATCAGATTAAACAGTAACGTATTTAGTATGAAAGAATTTTTCAAAAACTACAGTGACTGGAAACAAGCTTCTTAAAATATACATAACAAAATTTCAAATTACATAAGGATTACAACGTACTAATTTGGACTAAACCACAAAGGTATCAACTTGAACTTCTTCTGTGTAGACTAATCAAAATATTACTCAGTATTTGGATGAAAGACCTTCAAAATAGTTGTACGGACTCAGTTAATTGATCCTCCTCTCAAACTTTACTATTCCAGAGCCACAAACACTGTATGCTCCTAAGCTTCTTTCTCTGTTAAGTTTAAAACCAAAGCAATTAAAGCAGTAACATTTAACATTTTTCACAAAGGCAGATGTGTGAAACTCATTGTTGCCCTACTTGAAAGTGGTTAATTGCATCATGCTTTTTTCCCCTCAGGTTTAGTCAGAATGAATTATTTTTTCAATTCCTGTCTAATACTGCTGTGGAGAAAGAAGTGTTGAGTACTGTTAAACAGATGCTTCATTACTGCTGCAATAAGTATTTTCTTAGAGGACCTATAAAACAATCTGTCTGGATAAAGACGCAAGAAATAAACTGCTTTTGGTTGCAATGATCAGAAGATCATTGAATCATAGGCTCAGAACAGATGTTCGTCCAAAGATCATTTTTCTCCTCCTGACCAGCAGTCATTCCTCACTGATGTTTGTCTAAGCTGTTTTCAAAGATTTTCAAAGCTTGAATCTCGCTAATCTCCTCAGTACTCTTCCAGTACTTCTGTATTTTAATTACAAGGAAGATTTTCCTAATATGTGATCTGTATCAGTGCATTTGAGATACTTTTATCCCATCTTCTTCAAAGAAACCTTGACATAACTGAAGAGTATGAAGTCTCCTTTTCAGTCTAAAGAATTAAATTATTTCAATCTTTCCCCCCTCCCCTCCTCTGCTAGATCTCCAATTAGTTTTCATGATATCTTCAGGACTCTCTGCAAGCCACCTCAGCCCTCATGAAGTTCAGTGCCCAGGACTGTAGCCAGTAATTTAGCTAAAGCACCAGGAACCCCGAACTGAGCAGAAGGATTGTTTCATGTGTTTCGGAAAGCCATGCTCTTATTCATGCATTCCTCTCTGACATCTGCCTTTTCCACCTCTACCCAGCACATGATCCATGCTTCTTTTTAGTGTCATTCTAAAGAAGTGCTACCCAGACAATTGCTCCTCATCCTGCATTTCTGCAGCTGATTATTCACGTGTGCATGAAACACCTCATGTGTGTCCATATTGTCCTACCTTCTCACACTATGGCATTCACCAATAATACTCTCATTTATGGATGAGAAAATGTTACGGAGGTTACAAGCACAGTCTGACCTAAATTACCAGCTTTTACATCTCACCAAATAGCATAGTTCAAAACCTTCCACCCCCACCCCCGCCCCCAGAAAATACTGAATAGAAATTAAAGATGTTTTATTCTTCACTGGAAAGCCAAAGTATTTGGTTTGGAATCTAAGAAAGACATGTATTTATGCTTTAGGAACAAAGAAATATTTTTTTGTGTGTGTGTGAAAATAATAATTTTTCTCTAGAGACATGTTTTTGGTTTCACTTTTTAAAGAAAACACTTAGCAATTCCCTCTCATTAGTCTCTGGCAAATGTCTTCATTCTGCCTCCCCATGCTTCCCTTTCTGGCACAATCCCATAAGCAACCTGAAGAGATATGATATCTCTGACTGGCATTGCAAACCCTGCTTCTGTATTGACAAGAATAAAAATGTAACACTAGACTGGTTTTGTACTAATTCTTGGCTACAGCATTTAGTAAATCAGCACCAGTATTTCCATCCCCCTATCCTCCCTACTTACTCTTGCCCGTACTGTAATTAGCAAGAGAAGACCAAGGCTCCACCCTCCTCAGCCTTCCTGTCCAAGAAATCCCTGTATAATGCCTGGACCCAAAGTAGGAGAATCTTTTTCATTGATACATCCTTCAATTTCAAATCAGATAATGAATTATACTTTTTTGTACTAGCAGTCTCACAATGTTTTTCATGTATTTAATGGGCCTAAATGCCCTATATTGCACATACCTTTAACATCATTTTCTAACATCTTGGCTTCATTCAGGACCCTGAAGCTTTTCTGGAGGGAGCTCTTGGCACCATCCTTCAATGATCCTTGAGGACCAGATGTCTGTAGACAAACAAGCAGTGTCATACATACAGGAAAGTCTGAAGTCATAAAAGATATATGAAGATGATGTAAGTGAACAGTCATCTAAATTTTAAGAGCACGTCAGTGTGCTCTGAATTACATGCCATTGCTGTTACATTGGTCTACAAGAAGTAAAAAAAAAAAAAAAATATCTCTAATTAATTTCCTTTTGTTCTTATGGGAAGCCAGATCTCCTTTGGAATACCAGTGATGTCTAAAAAAAAGAGAAAAAGTTTATAGTGTTACAGAAACAGGTTTGACTCTAGGAGCAAAACTTTTCGAAAACAAAAACCCAAACAAATAAACAAACAAAAAGATATTTCAACTTGAACATGGATTTCTCCTTCCAGCTATGGACACAATGCACCATGCAATACAGTATTTCTCCCTAAGAGCAACAACAGCACCTTTAGAAGCCAGAGTGGTTCTGATGATACAAATTCTAACATTGACAACAGAGATGCCTTTGTGGTTAAATTCAAGAATTGTAATTGCCAGGCCAGTGAAGAAAATAGGGTATAAAAGAAATAGAGTTTAAAAAGAAGGGTAAATGGCAGTTAGTTTGAAAGACTTTTATTACTAAATAACCATCCTTCATCACATCATGCTACTTAAAGATGTTTCTTTTGAAAAACATCCATCTCTATCTTCAGTGCAGAGAATAATCAATAGTTAAAATGATTTTTCTAAATTAGATTAGTATTTTCAGTCAGTAGGAAATGCTCTAGGTTCTGAACCACTTACTGTTCAGTTTGTAAGACTGAACTCGGGTCACACATCATACTGAATACATTTCTTTGAGAATACTCCTGACAGCCACATAACATTCTATATTAGTCATGGGTCATAGCCTTGTAACTAGGATGTAATTAAGAAGCAGCTACTTTTCATTTTCCAGGGCAGATACATATACTCAAAAATTAACTATGTGTCAATTAAATGACACAGTTATTATGGCTATTCATTATTTATATAATGAGCAAGCCCAGAGGTGTTATTTCACATACTACTGAATCTTGGTTGTTTTTCAACGACACTGTGAAAACTGTATAGTGGACTTGCCCATTTCTTTTTCTTTGAAAAATCTTAGGGAATGCTTTGGATACTTGCAAAATTCAGAACCAAGTTTTTTGTTCTGCAATATCTCATAGCATATGTTACCACGTCACAGGGATATAGCTATTAAAGACTCCTTGTATTCATACAGGATGTAAACATATGCCTAGCTTTCATCATAAGCTAAGTGATTTTAAGAAGTAAGGCCCACATGACTGCCCTATTTCCAAGCTCACCTGAAATATTAAGCTCTGTACACAAATTCCTTTCAACATCAACAGAAACTATACATTCGAAAGATGAACAAAATTAGCTTCTTCTAGATTTTATCACGTAATACAAGTAGCATTGGTAATAGAAAAGTACATATAAACCCAGGGGAAAAAAAAAAAAAAAGACTATCCAATTAAGCAAAAGACTGCTCCTGAAAGAAGAATATTTGGCCAGATTTTGTGGCAGATGCACCTGTCAAATCAGATAATATTTTTATATTCTTTTTCCCATTAGCAACAGAACCCAGGGTATGATCACTCTGTGGCCATAGGCTTCAAAAATAATGATCGTTATTATTATTATTAAATGACTAGGCATGGTTGACTGGCTGTTAAAGCAGTTTATACTCAATACAATGAAGTTGTAAGGCCAATTTTTACAATGCAAAACCAAGAAGTTCATAAAGTCAGGGACAATAATTGGGCATGTGCTGACAATTAGTCAGAAAAAGACTTCAGCATAACATTAATACTAGAAAAGCTCCTTCAGAGACAAATACACTTGTACTGATTAAAAGCTTTATTTTATATTTATTTAAAAATAATTCTAAAAGGAAGGATTAATCAAGACATCTGATGCAAAACATACTTTTTTTTTTGCTAGCTTTTCTTGTGGCTCATGAGACTTCGAGTTATGATGAAGGCAATAATGAAAAAACAAAACATTTTCTGGCTTTGTGCGAGATGAGTGTGTGCTTGTGGCAAGCCTAGGTCATGATGAACCCCTGAATGATTTAATAAGACTGACAGCCAAGGGTCTTTGATATTATTTTCTAAATTGGGACACCTGCTGTAAAAAAAGGAAAAAAGTAAGAAAAAATTGTGATTCAAGATAAATTGGGAAATCACAGCACCTCAGGAATTTAATTTGTTCTAATTCTGCCTCTTCCAAAGTGTCCGCAACCTGGGGATAGTGCCTTCTTCACCCTGTGCCCTCCTTCACGCTCCCCACCCTCCCTGTGCAAACTCTGTGCAGCTTAACCGCTGGTAGCATCTTGTGGCAGAAGTGGGATCTCATTATATATCTAAACAATGCAATCTCAACGGTGGTTTAGAGGCATAAGTGCTGTTCTAATAACATAGTACAAAATACTGTCACTGAAATTATACATCATCCTTAATAGTCTGTTTTTTTTCCTATCAATGGGTTAGCAAAAATTTTAATTAAGTTTAACAGCAAAATAAAAACATCTATCAAATTAGAGAAAAAACTCCATGACTTGATAATTAGCAGATAATTTTGGGAAAGGAACGTATTTAGGAAGAATATCCTTCATCTTCCTTTTTCTAGTATTTCAATGAATCTTGAATTCTGGTTTTGTCAAACAGCTCAGCTTTTGCAGGAGTGGCAGAAAGATTTATGTTCAGCCTGGTGGGTTATGGCACTCTTCTGGGGTGGAGGAAATCTCTCTAGATCTCCCAGGGATGATTGCGTGAATCACTCACTTATCACATTAACAGGGAAATGTGCCACATGCTGCAAGTTTGAATAAGATGAGCCATAGTCACAGCATTCTGTGAAGACTCCCCCATCAGAGCATGATGGGCATGGTCTGAGCACATATCAGACTGAGAACTGCTGGGGACTTTGCAGAAAGGATTTTTTTCTGAGGTTTCATGAATGGACATAAATATGAAGTAGGCACCACGTTGCCCAAATCTGCTGACATTTTGGCGCTTTTGGTCACATGCGAGGTACAGCTTCAAGCATGGATGTAAATGCACTGGGGCTGTTTTGAGGTCCACGTACTTGGACTTGCACAGGTACAAGGTATTTTATAGACCTAAGTGCTAATTCACATCAGTAAAAAATAGTTCTGCTTTATTCTTAAATTATTTTCTCTTCACATACATTTATATTCTGGGAAGTTTTCACCTATGCAAGAATTAGGGCTACTCTCATTTTTACCTGTCCTGAAGATAGCTGAGCATTTTGAACTACCAAAATGTTATGAATGATTTGCACATCAGGATATCCTCATGAGGAGCATAGCTAGGTTGCTTTATGCCATTACCACGTAAGGAAACCTGGACACCCAATGTAACTGTTGGGGTACCACTACAAAAAAGCAAAGAATGAGTTTGGACCCTGAACACCTAATGTCACCTGCGGTTCCAGTTACTAGCCCATAAGCTCTCTCTAAAAAGCCTAAGAATAATCACACTTTTTCAAGATGTATTGTAAAACTATTGATTCTGATCTGTGAGACACAAGCTGGATCTGTTAACATGACTCCCCTCTTCAGTCAGTCACTGCTTTGGCAAAGTAATGGGATGTTGAAGCTGCTTGAATGCTAGAGATTTCTCATCTGTGATAAATTTATTTTGCTTTTAAAGGAGAGAGCAAATCCATCATAAAAAGCTCAGGAGGAATTTTTCTGTCATATTTTTAATACATTTTTTCCCAGTCATTTATCAGGCTTCCTGTAATCAGGATGAATTTTAAGCATCTTTTAGTTCTTGCTTTTAGCAACATTAGCTTAATTTGAAAACAAAGTAATTGTCCCATTACAAAGCAAAATACAAAAAAAACCCACTGAGATCTCACTAAGGTTCTTATAAATTATTCGCTCCTGTAACGTACAGGGTGGAATCTAAAACTCAGTCCTGTCCCTGCCATCTCTAGTTCATGCGCCTGCTTGCTGCTGTTGGGAAACCTTCCTCCTGCCGCCCCAACATTATAAATCTGCCAATGGGAAAGGCTAGGCTCAGGGATGGAGGTGAGCTTCAGCCCTTTTCTCCATTATTTGCTATCATCTGGAAATCAGAGTCTTTTACAGAAGATAGGCAACACCCACAGCTGCACTCATAAAGAAGAGAACATGGCTCCATCTGTCAAATGAAGGGGAAAGACAAGATCTCTGTCTTCTATACAGGGTCCCAAAGAGCACCTTCTCAGGAGGGAGGGGACACAGTTTCTAGGGGCTTCTCAGTCTGAGGGGGCTCAAATCCACATATGCTGCCTTCGAGGAGAGTGCTTGAACCGTGGTGCTCCAGACAGCCCTGAGAGGGTCCACTCGGGCTCTCATGCTGAAGCTCAGCTAAAAGTAAGTTCCTTCGGGCTTGCAGAAAGAGGGAACCTGGTTTACCTGGTTAGTAGTCCATCTTTTCACTTAGGATGAGCAAACATTCAACAGTCTTTCCATAAAACCAAAACCAGAATAGCAAAATGATGACTGAACTTCATGATTAACATATTTTTTAAATCTGGCCCCAAATCCTCACCTGATCATTTACCAAATAATGGTTAAATTCCACCTTGCTCTGCAGCAATTTGATTACCTCTACTATATATCAAGTCAGTTACATTTAAAAAACAGCAGCTCCCTCCATTTTCATCTTTATCAACTAGATCCCTGTTACACATATACAGCTCACAACGAAAAACAAGCTCCCTCTAATGAATACGTGCAATGGAGATGCTTAAAATCTCACCTTAATAATACCTTATTCTTTTTCCTTGCTACTCACTTGCCTCTATTTACCTCATGTTGTCCATCTTCACCTCCATCTCTTTCAAATCATCTATTCACTTTCTCTCCATGGTATAATAAGATGGTTCACCATCTGATATATACTCTTTTGTAGCCATACATGCAATTGCTTGCTTTGTTTCTTGACTGCAGTATGTATCTTTTTTTCCTATTCAATCCTTGAAACAGCTGCCTGCCTCACTCACCGTGAGTCATCAAAGGAGCAAAAGATTGCTGTCTGTATTAAATCCTGATGAGAAGAAAAAAAATCCCCAGCTCCTTATTCACTTCTGCAGTGTAATTAGAAGTTCTGGTGAAAAAAATAACTATTTACAGAGAACCAGAGCATACTAATGTGTGAGGTGAAATTTTTTCATCATGAGAGAAACATAGTAATTAATGTTATTTGAAATAGAAGTTGACAATGTAAACAGCCTAAAGATATTAAATTTTTTGTGCAGTGGCTAGACCATTTTATCCCTCTCCTAAATACAGACCTTTACAGCATGTGATTGCTTTTGCTATTCTCATAATCCATTTGACTGAAGTGGCTCTCTGCAAGCCACCTTTATTCATTTACAAGTGCTGTAACTACAAGTTGCTTCTGTTCATCTGTATGTTTCTGTATCAACTATAGGGTCTGGCAGTTTCATATTATACTGTCATTTCCTCACGTTTCTGTGTGCCTGTGAAGTGCACATCAGTTGCTTTCTGACTGACTTCCACAAATTTGCCATTAACTCCTTTGATATTTGACATAAAAAATAATTCTGGCTATGCTTAGAAAGTTTTCTCCTCACAGTGTATGCATTAAGGAGGCAAGCTCCTCATTATGACAGGCTGGAGAGCTGGCTTTACCTTACAATGCTATTTTTAAAAGTTCTCTCCTTTTCCTCTGAAAATTTGCATGCAGTATCTTATAGTGAGAATAAGATTTCTCTGTGAAATATGGCAGAGTTCACAAAAGAAGCTGTATAGTTTCTATGAATAAAACTTTATGCTCCCCTACTACAATTCTCCATTTCTAGAACTCTGCTAGGTGCACACAGTTCATCCTACGTGCAGAGAAGTGCCTCTGAGCATTTTTGTGGAACTAGAGGGTGAAGAGTTAATTAAGGCACAGAGTTCTTTAGATGTGTGCAAAATATTTGTTAAATATAAACTACCTTTATTGAGGATCAAATGACCTACAGTCCTGACTCAAGTCTTTCCTGTAGTAGCTGTTTGCCTGAGCCATAGACAGAGACTGAAAGGGGGAAGACAGAGGGAGGAAGAATAGTAAACAAAAAGGGAAAGAAAAATAAGGAACAGGAGTTAGGAACAAATAGGGATGTAGTTTGAAGGCACGTGTAGCTCTGATGGGGCACAGCTTTCTGATCTCGACACAAGAATCTGTGGCGGCAGGGGTGTCTAAATAAAGTCATAAGATGACAAAACATGGTGTAGCACAGTTCCACAAAAAATCTAAGCCTTCTTCCCAATTTACGTCTTTTTCTTACCGCTTGCATAGCTTCATTTGCAAGAGCCTTGGCTTCCTTGGCAACTTTTTCAGCTTCATCTGTGTAATCCTTGATGTTAGTGTAAGCATTGAAAGCAAGTGTGGCATTGAAAGAGAGGTTTTTGGCTTCAGCAAGGATTCTGTTGGGATGGGAAAAGTAAACACACCATTAAACCTGCTATCAGAGCTCAACAGAACATAGTACCCTACTTTTTCAAACCAAACGACCTGTATTTCTAAGGCATTTCTTTAGAGAGCAACGCTACCCTTGAGATTTCAGGAGTTCTGGCATCATGTGTTTAATGGAATTCACATTCTATCTGTGCAGAAAGACATAAACCCCAATGTTCACTAAAAGAGTGAGATAAAAATGGATGAGACACTGAGAAAAGATAGTGTAGTGCTTAACTCTATAATCCAGATAACATATATTCATAATGTGGGTTTATAGGTTAGGTGTTGAGCCAGGCAACTCAATGAATTTTGCTCTGTATGAACATGGGGGAATCAACACAGGCATGTTTTAAGGGAAAACCTATGAACACCTAATTTCTTTGGCTGGCTGCCAAACACAGAAACGTGAGGTTTGGAGGAGATCTCACTGTGTAAACCAAATCCTAAATGCTAATTTTGCTGAACAAAATGGAAAACATAACCAGTAATTCTTCATATTGAATGGGGTGTTCCATTTACATGAAATACTTCATTCTAATAATTATAATTATATTAAAAGGTAATTATAAACAAATAATGTTTCTTGCTGCAGGGACCAGACTGGAGCTCAGCTAGCCCCCTTTCAGGGTAATTTCTAGCCAGCAGGTTGGAGAAATAACTTTTCTTGCACTCTCTCTATACGATATATTCAAATGCTTTCTACAAAGAAGTACTGCACCTACAGAATTAACTTGAAGACATCTGTCTCAGAATACATTATGCCTAAAGCCTATGATGTTTTTCCTGAATAAAGGATAAATGGGCTAAAATCCCTGCTTGAATGGAACAAGAATGGATTTGAACTGGGATTTTTGCCTCTCTGGGAAATGTTCTAGCCATCAAGGTATATGACAATATAAGGGAGGCAGGGATTAGTCCTGCTGGACCTGTCCCAGCTTGTATAAAATAATCATTGAGACTGTGTGTGGAAGAAAGAGAAATTCATTCTCTAACCTAGTAATTAATCTATTCTCTGAGGACAGCTGGACTCCAATCCTCGCTTCAATGATTATTTAATGATTTCTATGAAATGCAACAGGAAAGACAAAGGGGACGGAAGGTATACTCCCTGGACTCCACGTGTAGTTAACAGAGGGAGAGAGATTCCCTTTAGGCTACTGCAGAAACAGCACAACTGAGCTGCCTCTGCATTACTCCTGGGAAACTGTATCTCCTTCCTTAACTACAGATGGAGCTCACTGGGCTATAGTAAGTTTTTGTGATGCTCAGTTAGAGAAACGCGCAGCCCACATTAGCTATCTAGCTAGTATCTCAAGTACTGCTTAGAAATATAGTTCAAATCCCTTCTGGTTAGGAGAGAACTGAACTGAATTTGCCTAATACCAATGGTATTTACTCATCAGCAGGCAATTACCCATAAGGGAGAAGCCTATACTAATAGCTCCTTGTATACAGGAAAAATAACAATTTTTTTTCTAGGTCGAATTAATGAACTGTTCTATGTTCTAACTCTCAAGAGAACATCCTCACCATCGATCAATATACTAGTTGAAGCCTTAGGGGGTGACTGGAGAGAAAGGGCTCTCCCTCAATTTCTTCTGTAAGGCAAAATGGTACTTTTCAGCAAATTTAGTATTAACTGAAAGACACCCAAGTGCCAGTTGTGAAGATAGAGATATTCTTTAATTTCTATGGCAGATGGAGACTGCATATTCCTGTAAAGTATGACTGTTTAATGTCAGTGCACAAAGTAACCAGCTTTATCCTGATGCAGGATTACATGGTATTTCTTTCTCCTTTGAAATCATGTATTTGACCAAATTAGAAATTTTAATTTTGAACAATTTGCTTTTAGATATAATTTTTAATGATGTCATTGATTCTGCATTTTTTAGTATATCTTGAGAAGCTGAGGTTGATGTTCAGATCAGATAGAAGTATACATGGTACTGCTCTACCACAGTGACTGCAACTTTAAACACTGCCCTAGGCTCCCCAAGACCGAGCCGTCAACCTACATTAAGACAGAAGCACACGCATGCACTCATAAAAATGCCTATTTAGCATAGTTAAAAACCTCTTTCTCAAAATATGTCTTGCCAACATTTCACTGAGGAGTACATTTTCTCTACTTCTTAGTGCCATGCCTGCTTTCCATGTATTTATATTTTTTTACAGATTTATATTCAGATATTTATATCTGAATTCAGTACTGTGGTTGGATGTGACACTAGTCACCTACTTTACACCCGGAGATGTACCATAAAACTGACGTGTCCTAATCAGACAGTGCACATAGCATTTACAAAAGTCATGTTTTTCTAGAAATAGTGCCCTTCAAATCCTTTTTACTTAGGAAACCACAGCTATCGTTATTTTATATACTCCTCAAAACATAAATTAGGCTGAATATCAAGTAGTGTGACTACACTGTATATGAAGCCAGTAGTTTTACAAGTATTAGACACTTTATCAGAAACAATTCTGTTCCTTTTCCTCAAAATTACAGATGCTGGCAAGAAAAAAATGTGTTAGGCATCTGCTCACAAGCCTTTGGGATATTGAAGTCTTCAGGTATATCTACAAGATGTAAGAAGCAAAAAAGGAGCATATTGTTGGTGTTAAAAAAATAATCTATCTTTTTTATTCATGCAGTGCTTTTGAGAAAATAAAACTCTGAAACTATGCTGGGGACAGGTCTAAGAGGCAGAATATCCACGATCTATTTTGAGTATTACTATTGCAAATTACACTTACTATTTATGGCTTGCTTTCTTAAATGCAAAAAATACAATAAAACAAAAGACACCCTCCCTCTTCCCCCCAAAAGTCCCAATAAACCCGAAACAAAACAACAATACCACCTTACCTTCTATTCTTTCCAGGAAACTATATTCATTATGAGTTATAAAGTATAACACTTCTGAAACTGCTATGGTCATATAAACCAAGGGCACTGTAATACTCACATATTTAGGAATGTGATAGCGGTAAAGAGAAACTGAAGTTTCTGTACTTAGGCTTCAGCATTTTAGCCCATGACACCTACTAATTTTGGGAGAGTGTTTTGAAACCACTAGAGGGATTACTGTCAGTCACTATGGGGGATTTTTGACAGCAAACAAATTAGCACCACAATAAGGGTTTCCTACCAAATTGGTCATCTTAAACATAAAAATACTGCTTGCTTTTAACAAATGTTTATGAAAACACATAGTGGCCTCTGTAAGACAAAGTTCAATTTTTTTTACACCAACATAGCAGTAAGCATATGGTAAGATAAACTGTGTTAAGACTGCATCTGCTGGCATTGTTTGCAGGTAATGCAGCCTATAAGCATCACAAGATGTATGAAATGGTTTAACAAGAGATACACCCACAAGTTAACCAACTGGATAGTCGTATACTCATACAGAACACTGGTTATTTGTATACTCCCAGTGACAGATGTCGAAGTCTAAGAATGTCCTTCAATTTCTGTCAAGCAATTTTACAAACCTGCTTCGTGATTTTATCATTACCAATGAATGGCTGCCTTACCCATCCAGTATTGCAGATGATTCATTCAGCTGGGCTGCATGGTTCTCAGCTTGCAACACCTTTTCTGGAAGCATCCTGTCATGAATTTCTTGTGATAAGTCATCTATTTTATCCTTCAGCTGATCAGACATTGGCTGTATCTTATCTGCAACGCCTTCTACATACTGAAAACGACAAAGGAAAGGCCTTTAAGCTACTGAATGCAAGCATTCTGTAGCCTTTTTTATATTTTTTTTCCCCCTTGTGAGGTATTATCTCATAACTTCCCCATGCATGAAGACTTCAGGGAACTAATATGGAAAGAATAAAGGAAGGACTGGACTGGAGAGCAGAGAGAAGACAAAACAATATTCCAAGAGCTACTGGCCTCTCTTGAGTTTAGTAGAAGTTTCTATTTTACAATTATGGAACTTCACAGTTTAAAAGCTTATAAACTCTAATTTGGATTTCTTTCCTAAATGTAAACACATACATAGTTACACTAAATTGTTGTTGTGCTCCACAATAATAACTAACCAATGACAGAAGTTTCATGTTTCAGGACCTTTTGAGTGACTTCAATGTATTTCTGCTTATTAAAGTATCTTAGTAAGAATTATACTTTTTGAAGACCTGCTATTCCTGTTCCAATAAGCTGTCTCAAAGTGTTTCCTTTCCCATTTCTCCAAAATGCATTTTTTCCATTCATTATAACAATTTTTAATGCAAGATGGAAATATTTCCAGAATCAATGATATTTCAAGATTATTTTTTTTATTGGTAGCTAAGGCACCAAACTCAAATTCTGTTGATAAAACTTTTAAGGCAGAATTTTCAAAAACATTACATAAAATAAGAGTGCAATCCTCTCCTCTCCCTGATCTATCTAGACTTAAAATTGTTGCCACAGGCAACAAATAATTTCTGAAGTTTCCTTCTGATATGCACATACAGTTTTTGTGGGGATAAATCTACATCTAGAGCAAAGAGTCGCAGTGAGATTGTGAATGGGTCTGCTGCATCTGCAATTCTAAAGATAAAGTCAGTACTGCATTCACAATACCATATTTGTAAAAGAAGGCAGAGTCCACGAAAAATTATGAGCTAGCTCTTTATGTAATCCAATGAATCATTTAAATCTCAAAGTGAATCATTTTTATATACCAGATTAGCTTTTTTTGCCATACAGCAATGGAAAAATGATTTCTTCCAATCAAAAATATTCCAACATTGATAAATAAAAAGAAAAATCAGGTGTCACTTTAATTATCTATTTTGCTTCCATAATGATGCTTTATTTTACTAATTATCAGGTAAGGATGATAAAACACTCACCTCTACAGCTAAGCTGATTTCATTTGCAAGTTTGTTGGCTGCATTAAGGACATCATTCCCTTCCTGCAGGCTCTTCTCAACTTCTTGCCTGCCATCTTCTACAGCTTGCTTCTTTTTCTATAGGGTGTGTTCAGGCAAAGAGAAATATGAGTTGTTTAACAGAATGAGGATGCCAGGTCAAATACCAGCATCCCAACACAAGACTGGATTTTGTCACCATGCCACAATGCCACTGGAATTCTCTGAGCTTTCAGAGTAAACACAGCGACAACAATAAAGCACTTATAATGTAAGATATCTTTTCCTTCTCCTCCTGTCCCCAGCTTTGTATCCTCCTCCCACACAGTAGGTTTTTGTGTTGCTCTATTACAGAGGTAACTGACTGTTGTACTATTGCTAAATGAATTAGAAAGAAGTTAGAAATCCTAATCTTTACCTAGATGTGCAGGTTCCTCATTTTGACAACTACCTTCTCTGGGTACGAAGGCAAAATTTTTCAAAATATTGTGCTGCTTTGCTATTTACGTCCACGGGTGTTTCACTAACTGCTGAATGTAAACTAAAAGATGATGGTTTGGAGCAACCTTAGGATTCTTGATTTTCCAACTCATAAAAGTGCTGCATATTGTGTAGTAAGGATGGACTTCTGAATAAGGAACTAGCAATTGCCTGTGCAAGATCCATTGAGTATCCCAGATTGGTTTGACAGGACACCAATGGCATTCTAGCGTTAAGTGCTATGACGGCTTCTTGGTCAAAACAGGGTCAAAATAAAGCAAAGAAACCTCCTCCAAACAGCCAGCTGGACAGGTGGAAAGGATGCTTTCAGGCACGCTGATACTGTGATGCAGAGAATATTTTAAAAACTGCAATAGCAGGTAATTTCTCCAACCTTTATCCATCCACCTTTGGGAAGACAATGCACAGAACAGAGATCACCTAACTTCTTTACAGAGCTGTCTTTCCTTAATTCAATCAAGCCCACAAATCTCTGCTGAGAACTAAGGTCTCGGAACTCTAACCTCATCATTGTACATGAGGTGAAAGCTCATCGAGATACAAACAGAGTTGAAACATTTATCTTCATTAGGTTGACTCTGCTCCTTATGTCTTGGTTAAATGCTTGTTAATGTACAGTATAATATGCTCTTTAGGTCTCTGCAATTTAAATTAAATCACAAGCAGACCCCTCTGCTATGAGGGAGGTCATTTATAACAGCTACTAACTACAGAGGATAGACTTTGATTTATTACTCTGTAATATCCACATACCCCCTTCAGTCTTCTTCCCAGGGGTTGGAGAGGGAGATGAAAGGGTAAGTTTTCTAGAAGCAAATATATGACAGCCAAGATTTTAACTGAACTCCTATTTAAATCTTGAGCACAGGATTTGAATTTTACATGACTATTTATACTGGGATGAATTTAATCTCCCCCAGAATAATAAATCCAATGCACCCTCTGCTCAGTGTTTAAAAGGAGATGATATTATTTTGGTAAAGCTGTGGAGTAATTCTACTTTTAAAAGCCAATGCATTTCCTCATTCTGAGGAACATGATTCCTTAAGATCACATAAGATATAGTTATATTTTAATAATATTTTTGTTTTGCTTATATTTTTGTTTCAAGATTTAATCATGCAAAGTTTCAAACTTTGATTAGACTCCAAGTAATCAAGGATAAAACTTGTCAGCACTCACCTCTACGATGGTCATATTTTTTTGGTTGACTGCAGATAAACGATCAGCCTCCCTAATTTTACCCGTAGCTTCTCTTAGCAGATCTCGAGCATCATCAACTTTGGTGTGGTAGCTTGCTAGCTTGTCCCGGACCTCATTTTTGAGATCCTCATTTTTCTCACTGGGT